ACATATTTTTAATGTAACTGTTAAAAAACTTAAGAGCCTGACTATTTATGGGTTACATTTTCCAAAACAATATTAATTGGATTGAAATTCCATTTATGAAAAATTGATTAAGAAAAAAATTAAGCGAAAGAAAAAACTTTGTAGCTTTAGATTTTCTATCACAAGTGTATTTTACGCTGCTGCATTTTACTTTGAAATGTTTCCATGTTATTGGTTTTTTTTCACATGTGACTAGTTTCACCAAGTTTCCATACTTGTTGTGTTGCCTGTTCAAACAATTTATTTACACAGAAGATTATTGTTTTTGCTTATTTACACAACCCTGACCCTAACCTTGATATCTTGAGTTTGTTTCTTAACTCACCACATAAGCAACTTCATCTCCGCAGCCCATCACAGACCTGACCAGCAGCACTACAGCCATGCCAGCTGTACTCTGCACTGATTGGATGAACTCCTCTACATTCAGCAGGAGGAACAAAGGAGGACACAGGTGAGAGGAAGCAGACACTTTTGGTTTTATATTTCTAATTTACACTCTTCTAAACAATTCCATGTCCAGGTGTGAGTGCTGTTTCTTACCATCAGTGAGGATGTGTGTGTAGCAGCCCAGCAGACTGCTCAGTGTGTCCTCCAGCTTGCAGTGACTCTGTCCAGCCTGCAGGGTGGCACTGATGCTCTCCTGAGATCTCTGAATCACCAGCATGGAGGTTTTCACCACAGCGAGGCAGGACTGCATCAGCTGGGCCTGGGCTATGTGACGCCCTGCGAGACCACTTGAAGGACAGCAGGGGGCGACAGAGGCACAGAATACACATCTGTGAGGGACTTTCCTGATGTTTCAATTATACTGCTCATACTTAGTTCTTTCTTATTTCAATGTGTGGTGAGAATAAAAGGCTGAAAAAGTTAGTTGAGTGTGGAGCAAGTAGAGCATGTGCCCCTATACAAGATGCTTGTGGACTGAAAGAGTTACCCACCGTGTGTTTGTCTGCAAATCAGGGCAATGGAAAGAGAGGTATACACTACAGTTTATGCTCACATACCTGTTTTGTTGAAGGTAGTTGCTCAATCCCCTGTGAAGGAACTGCAACACTTCAAAAAGAAGTAGAAGAAAGCAAACAAGTGTTTTTTTAATTATCAAATACACCTCACTTCAATTCTTCAAACCAAGCTTGACACTTACCCTCAGGCAGCAGTTTGTTGATGCATCTCTCACCTGCAGAGTTCAAAAGAGTAGTTATTTATCTCAGCAAAGGTATCTAAATTAATCTGTCTGGATTCAAAGCACAATAAATCCGCACTGACTTACCAATTCCAAAGCCGTCCAGGCAGGCAGTGATGGTGTCCACGATGTGAGGATGCTTGTCTGACGTCGAGTTGGACAGACAGTCAGACAAGCAAACACACAAACTGTTCACAGTGCGCTCTTGTAGCCAGGGCGGTACAGAGCCTAACGCACTGAGGGGGAAAAAATGAATGCATAGTGTTGATTTATGCTTGTCTGGGAAAAAACAGATTAAGTTTCTCCTCACTGTCAATTCAGCTCCTTGAAACAAGCAAGATGCCCACTCTGACTTAAAGCCTTGTGAGTTTTTGGTATGACTGACATCGTAGAGACATAAAAGCTAGAAGCAGCACCACAGTTATTTCCAACATCTATATTAGATCATGTTACAGTTTATTCATTTTTTTACTACAAAATTTGTAATACACCTTAAATTTATGTTCACTTTTTGGACACTTTCAGTTTTGCAGATGAGGGGTCTTAATTTAGAGTCTCATGTCTCAAAGCAAACTTTGGTAAAAGAGCCTTATTTCACATCAACATTCAATAGTATTAGGGAATTAGATGTATTTATAACATATGTCAGGCCATAAATAAGAAAGGATTGAGATCTGAAAAAATACATAAGCAACTTTTTTTTTAATGAAACTGCATTGTTTCAAAAATAGAAAAAAAAAAGGTGTTTTATGTTTATTTAAAACCCATCAAGAGACAGGTGTTGTAATTCAGCAGGTTTTAGAAGCTGTGGTACACGGCATTGGTCTACATGTTTCTTTCTTGTCCCTGCAAACTCATTAAAAACATCATAAGTAAGTTTAAATGGGGGAAGTACCTAGCTATTGCCCGCCGTAAGGGATTCTTGGCCTGCAGGGAGGTGTAGACCAGCGACAGGGTGTGCAGGCACGCCTCCAGCAAAGCACCATCAGGCTCTCCTTCATTCAGGGTCTCCAGCTGGGTCCCTGCCTGGTGCACAGAATTACAGTATTATCAATGAATGTTTATGTTTTGTTTTGTTTTTTTTCTTCATTGCCTCCAGTTCTCCCCTAACAAACCTTTTTGACCAGCTGGATCTGTTGCACAGGGTCTGTTAGCTCCAAGCAAGACTGCAGGGTCCGGGCGACATGTCGTACTCCATCCTCTCCTCCGTCCACAGAGAGAGACGCTGGAGGACAAAACATATTTATGGAGATGGCTGTTAACATGCATAAACTTAAAGCGCTCAGCACCCTACACTGGACCCTAATTGTCCAGTGTTAATTGTTTGATTAACCAGGAATATGCTTTATCTGTTGGTGCAACTCAATATATTGCAACAATATATATCGAAGATTAATTTCCCTCAATATCGATATCGATCATGGTCCATATGTTTTTCGATAGTCGGCATTCTGTCATGTTTTGGTAGACAATAAGAGTAGCCAATGAAAAGGGGAGTTGCTCCGGGTCCGCTTCCCGCTGAACCAATCGTGCTGAAGTAGAACCAAGTAGCAAACAACTGTGTAGTAGCACAGTGAGGTCAGACATAAGGTAGAGTAATGTGCACTGGAAATTATGTTGAGTACATGTTCTCGCAAAGTCGAGGTATACCTAAATCTTTTTCACCACCTGAAGCAGTGCCACGCGGCAGAGCATGCACAATGCAAAAGGTTACAAACCCCTAGCAGAGAAAGGAGCTTTATGGCGCCTGTGCACCGAAACAGCTGACCATTCCGCTTTCTCTAGTGCAGCCTTATGACAAAACGTCAAAGAGACACAAAGACCTCAGAAATGCAGTAGCTTACTGTATCGCAAAAGACATGCTACTAAGCATGCACTGTTACATTTCATTTTTTATATTGTGATATATATCAATATCGACTGATTATGAAAAAAATATATTGTGATAAACTTTTTCCAATATCTCCCAGCCCTACTGCATACTAAAGTGAAGTTCCTTGTACACACTCACGTGCTTACAAAACAAAACAGACCATGACACTGAACACCTTACCAATCAGCAGATGCAGTTTCTGCTCATCCAGGACCACAGCCTCCACTTTGGCTGTTTTCTTCTTCACCACCATGATTCTTACTCTGTGAGGACCACAAACAAGTTCAACTATCAACATGACCGCTAACACAAAACAGGAATCACAGATGTAAAAATGTGTGAAAACAAACTGGACATTTTCAAATTTCACACTAGATCTAAAGCTCAGTAGTGCAATCACTGAATGAAAGAATCCCGCTGTTGTTTCTGTGTATACATTTTCCTTGACATTTACCACATAAATACAAGTAAATCATCCAAACACACTCAGGAAACTTGCAGCCGGTTTTCAACTTCAACGTTTATGTTAGCTAAACTTTTGCTTGCTGTCTCCTGCTGACTAAACGTCTCAATAATAAATTCGAAAAGGACAACGACAGGACTGAAACGACCAAAGAATCTCTACAAAGATGCCGAAAAGCTGAACTAAAATTGAAAGATAAAAGTAGCACCCACCTCAGTCCAGCATGTGTTTTACCTGCTTCAGCTGGGGGCTAACTGAACCGTCCGTCCAGCTAATCGTTAGCAGTTTACGATTTCCGGTTTTACTCTTCAGAATAAAGGACAAACATTGGAGAACGTATTATAGGAAGAAAAAATAAATAAATAAATAATTAAATAAATAAATAAATTAATTATTATTAATAATAATAATAATAATAATAATAATAATAATAATAATAATAATAATAATAATAATAATAATAATAATTATTATTATTATTATTATTATTATTATTATTATTATTATTATTATTATTATTACATTAATTATATTTTTATGGTTCTTCAAAACCAAAGCTAAATCTGTTCTCCATTTCCAACAAGAAAGAACTGCATAAAACCAATAAACTATGAGACCTATAGGTTATTTTACCAGGTACCTGTAGTTTGACACCACAACCCGATAAAAATCTTTAAAGAAGGGTGTGCATGGCAGTGTTTCATTGATAAATTTTGGACAGTATAATATGCCCATGATAATCACAGGCATTGAAAACCACATGTAATGGTAAATTTTATCAAGTATATGAAATACAAAAGATTGTCAGGTACAAATTTTGACGTGGAAAACGTCCGTATCTTTCAGTTGTAGCCCTTTAAAGCCTGACACCACAAATTATAGCCAGAAATTTAAAAATATTTGGAGCTGAAATGTTTATTTCACTTACTACCCCAAAATGTCCTTAAAATATATTTATCTCATTTGATACATTAGATGTTTTTGTAAACTAGTAAACTAAAAGAGGACATTTTTATAATTTATCCGACTGTATCCGGGTGTTTATTCAGTAATTTGTAGATCAAATTGATTTGATAGAAGTGTATAAAAGTATGTATCAAATATGATACAAAAGGCATTAAAGGGTTAAGATTATTTTCCAAAAAAACATTTCTTCAACAGACTCGTGTGAGGTACTTCTTTTAATCTGAAGCCCCACCAATCCTGTTTCCTGTGTCATTCTCGCACACTTGACAAACCAGCAGTCCATGCTGCACACGTGGGACGTCACTTCCGGAAATGTGGTACTGCCCACCCTCTGTCCCTAAAGCAGCGCTCCATCTTTTAATTGGTCGACATCATCTGCCTATCATAAACAAAGCGCACACTATCAAGCATGTGATTGGACGCGTTGAAGTTCAGTCACGCCCCCTAAATCAAGCCTGTCTTCAACTTTTTTGCCTCGGAGCTGGAATGAAATACTTGAGGAAAGAGGGAAATTCACCGATGTTTCTCCCATGGATTTGGATATTTTACGAACGTTTATAAACGCGGGGGTCAACATGGCATGAAGGTCCATCGGTAGTTTGTTTCCGTCTTAAATTCTTTGAGGTAAGCTGAGAAACTCTGATGAAGATGCTTTTTTTAATTAAGAGGAAAACAGTGAACAGTCTGACACTGCTCTGCTTTGAAGGGTTCATATGTAAATGTGTCACACACTTTTACAAGCTTTTACAATAATTAAATTCTACCAATGACAAAGTTTTATTTCTATTTGAAATGATGCTCCCAAGAAAATTTTACATTAATGTTATTTTTGCCATTTTTGTTTGCCATGTTTGGCTTTTACAGCTTTATTTAAAATGTTTATAATTTTGCGTAAGAACTACAATACCCTACATACAGTTAAAGACATAAATATTGTAAGTACAAGTATCCCATAGACAGGTTTAATTGGACCCACCTTATTTTAACCTTAACTGTGAAAGAGTTGTCACCTGGACTTCATTTGATAACAGTTTGATCCAGACATAACAGAACACTTGTATTAAAAAAAATATAGGGCAAACAGTATGACTAAATAGTTGAATTTGTGTTTACTTTTAATCCTCCCCAAAGTGAGTAGAGTGAATTATTCCCATACAGTGGAGCTCTGGATTGTATTTTACTGGAACAGTAGTTCTGTGGGTTTTACAGATGTTTGTGATGGTCCAGAGGGAAACAGACAGTAGTCTGTTCTCGCTTAACATTGACTCATTCAACAGGAAGTGAGACAGAGAGATAATCACAGAGACAAAAAGAAAGTCGGAGTCAGGGTCCTGGGGGTTAAATAGCCTTTAATGTTCGCCACCAACCACATCCTTTTATCATTGCTGAAGAATGACGCAGACGGAGATTAGCAAGCATTGTTTGTGTCCTATTTTAAAGAAAATTAAGAAAAAAGACCACCCTTTTAAGTTCTTGTTAAACTATTTAAGCATGGCCTAACAGGGAAATGTTTGGTCTTTGTACTTTGATAAAACTGTAACTTGTATTGGTGGAATATAACATCACAACTATGAAAAGCCTTCACATTAAAGCATATGTCACATATAGTTTTTCGGGTATAAAGACGAGCTGCTTGGGCTCTAGTAAAAGGATGAATGCTCAGTAGCTTCAGTGTTCTGAAACCAACCCCCTCTTACTCTCACCTCACACCAAAGTAGAGAGAAAAAGAGAAAAAATGCAAGGATACAAGAATTTAGAGAGTTGTGAGAAAGAGGAAGAGAAGGCAGAGTCCAAGGCCCTGCAGAGTTAGGCTGCACGCTATACTTCCACTCCTGCTTAATGATCAAATGTTATTATTCAATCCAATTATATATTATTATTCTGTGTATTTGTGTTGTTTTGTTTTGAGTGATGAGAGGTATTTTCTCTGCTTTTCTGTTTTGATGTTTACCAGAGAAAACAGGCAGCCAAAACCAGCCTGTAAAAACCAGACTCTTCCACATGTTTCAGTCTCTTTGTGAGCTGTCCAGGCTGTTAATGAGAGGTTATAACTCAGAGAAGAGAGAGCTGCTCTCATCCAGCAGAGATGCTCTACTGTCCTTTTATCTCTCCTTTCTCTCTCCCTCTCTCTCGCTGTCTGTCTGTTTTTCTACCGCCTGTTTTTTTTTTTTTCATCACAACTGGAAAACATGATGCGAGCCCCTCTGAGGGAGGTTCGTTGAGGTGGTTTGGAGCTGTTGTGGTGTTTTTAGAGGTAATATGTCTGTTGAACAAACCAGTTCAGCTTAGTTTTTTAAAAAATGAAGTCACTGCAAAGGCTAATCTACGGTGTGCCTAAAGGAACAAATATAACACTCTATTAAAACACCTACTCTTGTTCATGACACAGTCTGAATCAATTTAGTTCTACCTTTAAACAAACAGGTACATGATCTACTCATTAACAGAAGCCGTAAGACTTGTAATTCATCAGTTTTTGTCTTTAGTTTGTTTTGTGTTATTTCTACTTTTTTTTTTCTTTTTTGTCTGTTTTAATTTTGTTCTTGTTTGTTGGTCTTTGCCATTGTTTCTGTAGGCTGGAACATTGGTGCCCTCCCTACATTATCCTGCCATATGGTCACTCCCTTTGTGAAACACATCTCTTGGTTAATGAAGAAGAAAAAAAACATTAGTTTGAACCTTTATTGGTTCCATTCCGTTTTTTGGATGGATTAATGAATGAATAAATAATATTTATTTGAGGTCATTAATATAGAAGGTACAAAACATGCTCAGTTTGTGTGAATGTTCAACTTGAAAAATAAAACACAGTATATCATATATGGCATTATGAGTGAATAATACAGTATATGTAGTTGTTTCTTTTTTAACAGAGCTTTTATTTCGAAAAGTATACCAATAGACTTAAATAGTTTTCTTATGATATAATCAATGTGCAGTTTCTAGTGGGGTTTATGATCTATCGCAACTCCTAAAATTCTAATTTCCTATACACTTTAATTCTCCAAACTGTATAATTTTAGTTTTATATCCAGTTAATTTAGGTTTATCTTTATTTAATGATAATTGATTATCAAACCATGTTTCTAACTGTATCAGCAAAGACTGCTGCTTTCAATAATTCTTACATGTCCTCACCACAACAAAGTAAAGTGGTATTATCTGCAAATGTTCCCAATTTCAACTTGTCAGGCACTCTGGATATAGCATTTAAAAAGAGTATGAATGAGTTGGGTCCCAGTTCTGATCCCTGTGGAACACCCCAAGTAACTCTTCTTAACTATGATATGTGTGCAAGTTCTGACAGCCCCGTTTATAGATACATAGCACACACAAAAAATAAAATATTCTTGAAATAAAAGCAGAGGGTCTATTGAAATATCAAAATAATACTAAAATTATCAACCTTTGTCCCTAATATGTATTAAATGAAACAGCGAATAAATAACAATACCACCTGCAGTAAGTTTGATCCCTGATAGGATATATTTCATTTGAAAGGTCAAGTGCTGGCAAAAGAAAACTAAAGCTGTACTTTTCTGCAGTTTATTGTAGTTAAATTAACTAATTTATTTTTGTTCAATGTTTATAATTTGTAAGATGTGTTAAACTAGATGTTTATATCTTTGTGGTTACCTGGTCTTTTGTTTCTGCCGCATATTTAGTAACACATGTTTCATGCTCTGTTTTAGAACTGCAACAATTTCCTTATTGACACAAAATAAAAATTATAATTACATTAACACATTTGACAAAACTAACAGTAACAAAGAAACTGTGCATCTGGGACTTTTGGTATGAAAACAGGGATTATTGAATTTCTGCACAAACATTGAACAGATACTTCACTTGTTACCAGGCAGCGGGATGACTGTAATATCACGTACAATATCTGTTTCTCAATGCTGTGTGTGTGTATATGTGTCTGTGTGTTTTTAGAGGGGGGAGACAGCATGGCGGAGGGAGAGGAGGCCATGAGCCAGGATGACTGGAAAGAGAAGTGTGTGGTCCTGGAGGCGCTCCTGATGAAGTTCAGAGTTCAGATCATCAAGATCAGAGAGCTCACTGCTGACAAGGTTTGTGAGAGAGAACCTCCAACTGTTAACCCGTTTCTGACCATTTATTGTTTCATTATCAGTGCTGCTGATGAGAAGAAACTTGGTTCTCTTCTGAGGGAGGGACAGTGTTCAGTCTAAGTCTTAAAAACACAATAATACAGACCAACTAATTTAAGCAGTCTCAGTCTAATAACGTCTATGTTTTTATGTCACAGTGTGTAAATTTACATTATCAGGGCATCGTGGAACCATGAGAGACACAATTGCAACACACAAAGTGGGAGCTCAACATACACACACTTGAACATGCACACACACACACAATATTGTCCCCCCCTCTAGCTCTGACATTCTCCTTTCAATACCCCCCACGCACAGCCATCGAAGGTGGCTCATTCCACACAAGGCATAACAACAGCACACCTTGAACTGTTAATGAGAACCTTATGGTAACAGGAATAGGACCCTAACGCAGACTAAGGATCGTCATTGCAGGTTTCATGAATTGTGTGTTTATGTAGCATAGCTTAATGAAGAGACTCAGCATGGTAGTGGGTTTGATACCCATGTGCTGTGAGGTAACATAACTGTTTCTGTCAGTGACTTCTTTAGGCCTTGGAGAAGAAATGTCAGTACAGCTGTTTCTGGAAAAAAAAATCAGGAAAAACAAGACTCTTAAGTAGATGTGCTTTGATTCTAAATTAAGCTACAGCTGGTGCAGTCTGTTTTGTGGCTAGTGGTTTAGGAAATCTTTTGATAAAATTTCTAAAAATCTAGTCCCTCCTCGTCATGTAGACCATAAAATATTTAAATTGATGCTCACGTTTCAAAACACTAAAAATCTCTTCTCAGTTGTACCCATCAGATGTGATGTATGGGACCCTGAGACTTTCACATGTGTTTCGTGGGCTATAAAAAATCCACCAAAGCCAGCCCTTCTTCCAAGTCTTTCGAGGAGTTTGTTTTGCTGTCCAGCTGAGCTGACTCTGACTCTGTAATTGACTGGAGCTGGGTCAATCCCATGATGTAGTGCGTTGCGGAGCCCTGTGGTCAGACTGCTGTTTACATTAGAGCTCTAATCAGCCTCCCTGGAGAGCAGCTTCAGATCTAGGCCACTGAACAGTTTGGGCCGGCCCCGCTCAGGACAACTGGGAGGGACGGGCCGCCACCAGACACACCACAGAGCTCTGTTTGAGGGTGGATAAACTCCTATACTTATGAGCGCCACATGAAGGACTTTTTTAGTTCACATCTTTCTGGGCGCAAAGGTTAAATCTACCGTCTGTTTATGGCACTGACCATTTGTTTTCCTCATTAAGTCAATATTATTCTGTAAAATCTGTTTTTTGAGTCAGAACCTTTTCGATTAGACCCACAGTATGGTCGGTTTAATACTTCGCAATTTTATCTTTGATAACCAAACCCATCTGGTTCTTATTTGATCCAACTAAATCAGTGCTACTTCATATCTCAGCTGATGATGCCGTGAGCCGATAGACAAAAACCTTCAATCTGCACTAGTTCTGTATCAGAAATGTGATTTATGGAGTGGCAGCAGGAGTAAAAGAGCCAGCTATCTTCAGTCCCAGCTGGTATTGCAATGATAACAGAAGTAGGACCCAGATGAAGATAAAGAATGCAGAATGATTACACCAAAGGCAACATCCAGGTAGATCAACAACTCCTGAGTTCTGTCAGATTAGTTTGGCATCTTTGAAATAAAGCAATGTAAAGGTCTTCCTCCGTGGTGATCCTTCTGACATGTTTTTAGACACTTAGAAAACTTATATCTAAAGAAAACAAGGACTTATATTAGATTGACATTGCTAGATCAAGTATTTTGTGGCAGCCATTACTCTGCTTGTTTTCCTGCTGCTAGCTGAAGAGATCTAATAGATCCAGTTAAGAAACTATTGATGTTTTTTCCTCAGTAAGACCTGAAATTATGTTTTAAAAAAAAAATTAGGACCCATGTAAGAAAATTCTTGAAATCACATTTAAAACAAGTCCACTCTGAGGTAATAAATAGACCATTTCACTCAGAATAAGACTCTGGTTTCATTTCTCTCCCTCAGTGATGTTTACTCAGTGTTAATTTAGCAAATTGGAGGTCAGTGTTCTTTTCTGTAATTTGCGCCCGCTGAAATTTCAACTTGTTGGTTTGGCTCGTCTGTTTTTAAACTGAGGTTAACAACTCGTAGTGTGAGACTGTTTGCTCAGTACACTGTGATACATGATGGGTGTGTTTGTTGTAAATCTGATGAAGAATAGCACTAATCTTCTCATCTTTACCACATGCTGACTTGGTTCCCAGGATTCAGAGGTCAGCGAGAGTTGAACAGACTTTCTCAACAAGCAATAGCAACGAATTCATACTCTTGAAGAATACACTGTAAAACAAAAGATCGTATCCGGTTTTCTTCTGTATGTACTCGGATAATCAGCAAGGAGTTTAGTGAAGAGATTTAAGTTTAGTAAAGTTACATAAAGAGATACTAATGTCACATTTGTTTGAAATAGACCATGAGACAAAACACCCTGCAACTCCATCCAGATAAAATGAAGTGAATATGACACAAAAAGATTGATTTGCACCTGCAGCAGACAAAAAGCTGTAGGTATTTTTTTAAGTCCTAAGCTGTGGGGGACAGGTATTAAAATAAAAATGGTATTATTATTATTATTATTATTATTATTATTATTATTATTATTATTATTATTATTATTATTATTATCATTATTATTGGCCATCCATGGGGAAAAAATTGATAGGGACTTATGGATTTCTCTCCAGCCATTATAAATCACTGCTATTAATAATTTCAAATGTATCCCAATGACCCGGTATGACACTCTGCTCTCATTTGACACTCTGCACATTACATTACTGCCCACTCATTAAGTATATCCCAGATAACTAAGTACAATATCCTCTAAAACTGTATTAATGTGGGTCACCGAGACACAAGTCAGCTGAGTGATGTATTTGTGACTGAAGTTGATGAAAATCCTCACTCCCAGGAGAGAAAGCTTACATGAAAATGAAAAGAGACTTTAAGAAAATAAACTTGCGTACAGTCTTTGTGGATGATCCTTTTGTTTGTTTAACTGCACATTAAGTCAGATTATTTGATTTTGGCCTCAGCTCTGATCATCCAAAAACATCATTCTAGGTTTAAACTAAAAAGGAAAGATCAATATGAGCATTGACTGCAGTAGTCGATACTAGATGGTGTTGGTCTCAATTGGCTTTTATAGATTGCCCATTTGATAACGGATATTTAAGCCTCTGATGTGTCTCATCTGCAGTGTGTAATGCACGGAGTGTTAAAGGTGGGGTGAAGTTATTCCACTTCAAATCTTCGGATGTCATAACAAAAGCATAAAGCAAATGTGTAGTGACAGCAGAACTTTTTTACAGTGCTGAGGTAGTTAAGAGCGGTAAAAAGATCTGTTTCGTGAAAACTGTGCAAGAGGTAAACTGTTTCAGGCAATATCAGTTTTGATTATATAAAGAGTTGTGCACAAATCCACACAAGGGGAATGGCTGAGTTAAAAGACAAGAGGGTAGATTTTAGTGATCTTTATTCCACTTCTTTGCCTGTTTCAAGTTTCATTTAGTATACAATATTTAACAAAGAGCCTTTTGTTGAAGGAGAGGAAAATCCAGTAACGAACGTTTGTGCGACTTACTCAAACTTTTCATTGGTTTAGGTGACAATAGCTTAAATACAGACTATAACATCCTATGAGATACAACCTCATCACTTTTTTTTTCCTTCAGTGGGGAACAGTACAGACAGAAACACTGAAACCCCACAGGGGGTGGAGTGGCATGTAGCGGTTTTCTCCTCTGGTTTATTCCACATTTGGAAAGAAACAAAACATCCTCCAAGGTTGAAGGCGGGTTTTCCTGGCCCTTTGAACCAATCATGGATCGAATAAGTCACGGGCAATAAAAACTTCATAAATTCTGATAATTTATGATAGTCTTTTACTCCAAAACACACATACTTTTCTCATGAATACTCCATGCCACACACAAATATCTACTTTTATCCCCAATCGGCGCATAGATGCTACAAACAAACTTTTATGTATCTCTCTATCTGTCCTTAGTTTTTATTTTATCAGATATTTCCAAAATAGTTGCAGCTCCAGTTTAACATAGTGGGTGAGATTATTTAGAAAAATGTTTTTGGCTGTAAAGCTGTATAATTTGTAGGTCAGCTCTGTGAGCCGTCTACAGAAAGAAGCATTGTGAGCTGGCTGTTTGGCTGTGGATGGAGGGATGGAGAGAGGTGAGGTGTGTGTGTGTGTGTTGGGGGTGGATGGAGTTCAGGGGGAGGTTGGCCATAGAGAGCCAGTTGTGGAATTCTAGGAATGAAAGCAGAGTTCAGATCTGTGGAGGGAATCAACTGTGGAGGTGATGGAGCGTTTTCAGAGGTCACGTGTACGTTTATGTCTCTGTGTGTGTTTGAGGAGAACTCACATGTGTGTAGGTGCAAAATGCAATACAGAAGTATTTTTTAGAATTACCATAATATAAACCTGAGGGACTTCATGAAAACACAGTGTGAAAACATAGTGTTTCTTGTAGGTGGAGCTTTACATCCTGCTTCTCACAGAGGGTTGAGTGTCTGCTGTGCGTTTCTGTCGGCTCCCATTAGATCTTCTTGATGCTGCGGGGTGTGCAATGCTAAAAGAAAATCATGTATTAAAATTTTTAGAGTTTCCGCTGATAAAGGTATTTGACAGTATTTAGCATCCCTCACAGGATGTTTGCCATACCTTAACAGGAGTGTTTTGGGGGTTAAAGGTAAATTTCAGGACTTTCATAGACTGTATATAGAATGGACGCCGTCTGCCTCCTCGCTGGGTGAAGCCACCCCGAGAACAGCACCCTCTGGTGACGGGCTGCAGTATAGGTCATAAATCCTGCCTCCTCCAGCAATCCCTATGGAGCTGTGGAAAAACTTTAGAAATTTATTACGCAGAATATAAAAGTTTTCTCCCCCTTCCTTTTGATGTTGACATGTAGTTATTGTAAGACTGGTTTGTGCTCAAGTCTTTTTCTTTCTGTACAGCTCCATTTTAAAAAGTTATTAGGGGGTTCATGTTTTCTATGACTGACACTTGATGCAGCCTATGGGCGTACAAAGATTGTGTAGCTCACCAGGGCGATACGCTGTTTGAGCCGAGCATCATCACAGCAACTCTCGGCGACTTCCCCGCCAAATGCGTACAATGCTACTGCGCAAGTGGTGGAGGGCATACAGCGCTACTGCACAACATTACTGCGCAATGTTGGTTTCAGAATGTGGAGAAAAAATGCAGAATTACCGAGAGCTTTTTTTCTTCAAATCCTTATTCTGGCGAAGGCGGAACCAAGTTGTCCATGGTATATACAGTCTATGGTTCTACCCCTTTGAGGAGACACTGCTGGGGGAACCAGCTTGCACGCTGGGCTATAATTTCCTGCACACAGTGCCAAGTCTGCCACTTAAAGACCCCAGCCCAAGCACACATCTTGGGGTAAGTGTACCCTCCAGTGAGAGAATTTTCAGCACTTTTCTTTGCCATCCAAAAAGCCCAACTTCAGAATATAATTGTCGTGGAAAAACAAGTCTCTCCACTGAAAAACATTAGATTGGACTTTTATTGTGAAAAGCATTACTGAAGAGCTGCCTTGCTGTGTTTTATATGCCAGTAACATATATAGCTGTTACAAAGTCCATAAAATACTCAAATTGTAATTTTTCTGTTCATTTTTGCTAAGTTCCCCGAGGATAGTGGAAAAAATGGGCAAGTGTTTCATTCCCTCAATTTGTGGCACATGACGCAGGCATGAGTTGCTCATAAATCAACAGCCCAGTCTGTTCTACTAGGTTTGACAATATGTGATTGTGTTTGGACCCTTTAGGAGTGTTTTTCACATGTTTTTGTAGAATGAGTGACATACTCATAATTGCAACAAAATCAGCCTACATGTGTGTATATATTCTGATATTGCTGTTGCCGGGCTCAAGATTGTGACTTCAACCTAAACAAGAGATCTTTTCCTGAACCAGGCTAAACCATGTTCAGTTCAGTTGGGAAGAGGACACACACCCAGGCCTCATTCAGGCTAAATATAATACCAGCCAGGCTCTCATAAACAGCAGAGTATCATCAGCATCAGACAAGAGTTTACGAGCTTTTAGAGGTTGTTATGTCTGCTTTTCCGTGTGTGTGTGTGTGTGTGTTTGTGAGTCTCTGTGTGTTTGTGTGTGTTTGCAGTATACATGCTCTGTAATTAACGTGCTACTCTCTGCCAAATGCTATATCTGTTATAGAGAGGCACATGTGGTCTGTTGTTTGTGGTGCAGCAAAGGATCTATATAGAGTGTGTGTATGTGTGCAGATGTCTGTGCGTGTGTGAGTTATATGAACTTCTTTACTTTTGCTTTGATGGGATTAGAAACATGAGTGTCTTTAATAAAAAAGTTAATAGTTTTTTTGTGTGTGGATTCATCTGCAGTTTGTTACACTGAAGAAGTTTTCAGAAACGGAGCACAGATGTCGTGCATAAAAGTTGTTTTCCATCTTTTGGTTTGTTTTGTTTTATTTGTTTTGTTGTTAAAGTGCAAAATTGTCACTAAAATTGGATTTTTGAGGCCAGGAAGGAGACTACTAAAGTGATGGCTTGGATATTTAGATTTTTTCACATAAAAGAATCAATTTAACTCTTTAAAAGTGCTCAGAATGCTTATTTTTGAAGGGGAGAACTTTAGAGTATTTAGTACTCTTAAAGATTATCATTAGGTTGCAGTGCACATCAGCATCTGCTTGACTGTGCTGCTCTGCTGCTCTTTTGCAGACAGGGCTGAAAGGATTTTAACTACATGATGGCACCCTTTCTGAATCACTGCAAGCATTTGGCACTGTTTTATCTGCTGAACTATAGATCATTTAGTTGTGTTGAAGTGTGTACAAATGCAAACAACTTGAAAATTGTTGCGAGCTCATCTTGCAGACGGACCCAAAGTAAGCTTTTTAATGTGCTTCTCATGTGACTCCAGGGTGGAATATTCGCTGATTGTGTTGAACCAATATGAGAAAAAATAATCCTAAAATCAATCTCACAAGAGTCATGTGCAGCAAAGAAAAAGAAAAAGTTTGCTTTTGGTCTGAAGACAGCTACAGAGAATAAACCATACAGCCCAGTTTTCCAATCAGATTAACATTAAGCCGTCAGATTCTACATTTATCACAACATAACATTATATTTGCTCAGAGTATCTCCTCAAACAGATGTGAAAGCACTCAATACACCCACAGAAGATGTGTAACAGCTTGACCAAACTCAGGCTGTAACGTCAGACGGGACTTTATAAAGGTTGTGCTTCCTCTGCGGTCGGAGCAGGTTGTGTGGTGGAAACACTGAGTGGCTCTGGCAGGGTGTGGCTGTTTCTGGACCGAGCTGAGTCCACTTCTTCTGGTCTCTGGAAGTGAAAAGCAGCAGAGGAAACCTGGAGTGTGGCCATGCCAGTCTTGCACAGCTTGCATCCACCCAGCAGCTAAAAACAGCTGCCGTCTTTCTTCACAGCAGTTTACACAGGAGTACAGGAGCAGCTTTTACTGCAGCAGAGTGTTAATTTGTTCCCTCTTATAACACGTAACAGAAACTCTGTGGACAACAAACGGCTAGGAAAATAACTGTTAGTACGACATGTGTTTGTTGGCTGTAAGCCTTCTCCACCATCTGAACTACTCTGGAAGTCAAAAACTGAAGGATTGAGTGGAAGACCGTATGAAACGTATTAGTCTAGAGAGCATCAAATTAGTTTTACTCAGTATACTGTACCTTTAGAAGATTTTAACTTATAGGCATCAATCCTCGTTTGGATCATTTCGGTTTGATTGATATTCACAGATTCTGATATTTTCCTCAATGAAACAGCTGCATGGTTCATACTTTGAGATCATACGGTTTCTAAAGTCAATTCAACTCATTTGATTGACAGCCAAACCATCTCCATGTGAATTTAACAGAAAGTAGTCTGCCTCCAGTCTGCTCCCAATGTTTTGTTTTTGAATTTTTACAAAATAATGTATGAGAAAAAAAACCTCTCCGTATTTTTTTTAGACTTCTCAAAGAGGGACTTTGTCTCTTTTTGAAAATTGTGCAAATACATCTCAGCTGAGGTATGCAGATTTTAGCTGCTGTTTTTTTTTTTAGGTGTTTGGCTGTGGGCGGGGCTTAGCAGTGAATTCAGTGAAACTAAGTAAAGTAATAACATCTGCCATATAATATGAACATGTTGCAAATTCTGAGCTTTTGTAAAACAAACATAAAGCAAAGAATCTGAACCCCAGTTTCTGTTACTTGATGAAGAATTAATCACACATTCAGACAACTAAAAACAATACAAATGTCACCTCATGTAATCTGAACGACATATTCCAAATTACACAACACTCTCTTTAAGACTTTTTGTAGTGACTATGCTGACCTGAATTTTAGTCACTGTTTTTCTAGTACAATCCAATGTCCAGTCCAAGGTTGATGTTGAATTATATTTTTGCCATTTATTGATTAAATGAAAAATAAACCAAAAAAAAAGACAAATACGTCCAAATTTCGACGATGGTGATGTACGTGATGAGGGTGAGAGTGGTGTCGGAGATTAGCGTTAAAAACCGTGTGCTCTTCCTGTTCCCCAGATCACTGCTTCGCCTGCGTCCCTTTTGTAGCATTTACCTGCCCATTCATCTGAAGTGCCCCTTGTGGTGATTGTGCGAGTAACAAAACAAAATCCAAAAAATGATTTAGATAAAATGTCTCATACACTTTTGTATCCAAATGTTTAATCAGTGATCAGATATTTTGTTTACCCTGTGCCATATTTTAAGTTTCCTTTTATAACCAATGCAGTTTGTGTAGTCTCTGATATTAACCCAAATCAAATTACACTTTTCTGCTACTCTGACTTAAAACTCAAACTGTCCAAAAGCAGTTTTCTTAAATGAAGTTGAACAGTCATCTTTGCAGATACATTGGTCTTTCTTTTATTGTTCCTGCAGCATAACACATGTTCAAGTGGTGGTGGTGCCTTATCATGTGTTAATGGTTGCCATAAAGGAATCATAATAAGAACGTAATCACCAGATAGATGGAAAACTTGGAAGTAAATCTGAATGTAAACCCGTGAGCCCTGCCTTTAAGGTTTCATAATCACTTAAAGAAATAAACAACATAGAAAATGAAAGCACCTCAGACGTCAAGGAGGTTCACAATTCTTTAATGATATATTTTGTTCATTGGCTGAGGAGAGGTAAACTTTTGTCCCCTACTGTGAAGGTTTTTGCCTCTTATTTAAAATTCTGTTCATTTCAGCTTCACTTGATCCTCTGCTGTGTTGTTACTCTACAGGGGTTGTTAAAAGTTCCCTGTAATCTTGCCTCATTTGTGTCCATGCAGCTAAATATCCTAACCGTGGTGGTTGTAGAGTTGCTGTGTAGAGAATTTCCAGCCACATTCCTGCATATTTCCCTCCATGAAGCAGCTGAGGTTCGAGAGAGTTTCCTCAGAAGACACTGAGCTTCCTCCGCCGCTGTGATCGGAGGAATTTCAGAGGAATGCTGTTCATAAAGTCATCTCTCTCATCTGTTACCACATGGCTCCTCATCCTCCTGCATGAGTGTGTGTGTGATGTGTTCGTGTATGTGTGTGTGTGACCCCTGTGCAGCTGCAGTTTTAACACTCTCCCACCAGGTTCCACAGGCTCTGCTCTGATCTCTTCACACAAAGAGCTGCTTGTACCTTTATAGATGTGACTCCTCATTATCCTTATGTAACAGGTTAAAGGTGCAGCTCTGCAGTTTTAAAACTGACCAATCAGATTTCAGATTACAGGGAGACTGATGTAAACAAATGGACTCAAGGCCAAGAAGAATTGGCAGCATCTTGTTGGCAATGAAGCACACGCTGCAGTTTAGTTTTATAGTCAAAAGATTTCATCACAGCATCACAGTTATTACAGTTTATAGTTAAAGAGTTGTTGGCTTGTTTATTATTTTGGACCCTTTACTTATTAAGGTTTTGTATTTGTCACAGAACACCACAGAGATGCCAAAAGTCATTTTAGCGATGGGGTTTCTAAGCAGAAGTCAGCCGGTACAATAAAATCACACTTACTGCAAATGAACTCAGATGTTTTTTCCTTTATCTGACAGGCTTTTGTCGCGAATAAACAAATTTGAATCATGATCGATTTCTGTTTGAAAACAATATTAATATTCTCAATGTAAATTTTCCTACTTTGAGCATGCTCTCACTCTTTCACACATCCATTACAACCCCCCTTTCCTTTGTCTGAAAAGTCTATTTTAGAATAAATGTAGAATGACTCTTGATTGAAAGTTCTCTTGAGTAGTTTTTCTCTGGTTATGAAACAAATAAATTAAAACTGCTGTCTCAAGATAACGTGAAAAAGCAAACCACACTATCAGCACTAACTTAGCCTATAAAACATGGATAATGTGTCAGGGACAGGTCTTAGTGGTTTTTTAAAGAAAGGGGTTAAAGCTCAAAGATGACAGTCACCAGATTGGAAATCCTCCCTCCCACTAGATCCAGTCTAGAATCTAGCACAGAGACGGGGTCAGGGCCATAAATAAAGATAAATGTTTCACAAAATAATGACCTGCTCAATAATCATATTTGTTGTCAACATACAGCACATTTGTTTCTGCTTCAAATTTGGCATTTCAACATGGGATCCAGTGGGGGTTCCTTGGCTTTCAGAGTCAGCCTCAAGTGGACTCTTGAGAAACTGCAAACTTGTTTTACTTTTTCTACTGCAAATACTCACAAGTATATTCTCGGTGAGTAATACGTTTGACCCTTAAAATGCAGCAGGAGGATATTTTATTATTAGAAAGAACAAACCTTCAAGAGGACAGGGTCAGCTGAGAGCCAGGATGTGGTGAGAGGCACCAAAATCACCACAAAATGAACATTTCCTTGGAGAAAGTAAAGTCAGAAACCATGTGTAAAATTTTAGGGAGTGCACTATATGCAACAGCAGCATTTCTCATGGAAAGCCAGGGAAAAATCTCCTCTGAAAGACTGAATTTTAATTCTTTTAATTCTTTTTTCAGTCCCTTTGTTTTTTATCAAGGCTGAATTCCGGAAAATCCACTCAGGACAACTTGAATTCTCATTTGATCATACATATAAACAGTGAGAAATGGATATACTCCATCAGCACAAGGTAACAGAAAATATCCAGCGATTGTGCTACAAATAGAAAAATTATAAATCTGTAGTTTCCGATAGACTCAGATTTATATGCGGAAGAATTGCCTGAGAGGAACAAACATCTGTGAGCTCTGTGGGTCCTGATTATCATCCTGAACATTTACCAGAATCTTAAATATTAAAAAGAAACAGCTGCACAGCATCTGCTCCTTTCTGGCACAGCTGCTTATAGCTCTCATAATGTGTGTGTTCAAGTATGAGACGTATTTTGGGTATATGTAAATTGTTCACAACAGAAAGAAAGACAGAAAAGAAAGGAAAAAAAGAAAGAAAAGTGCTGGATTAAAAAGAGTTCAAAATAGATATTTGTCATGAGCCAGGGCTTAACAAAAAGGGGGGAAAAAAGGACCCAAATGCGGAACAAAAGATGATTTACTAAAAGAGCGAAATAAAAAGAAACAAAAACGTTCTTCCAAAATGTCCAACCAAAAAATCCAAAAGTCAAAATCCAACTCAAGACACTGGAGAGACAACTGGGGACACAGCATATGCACACATAGACATACATTGAACCAACAAAGAAACAGGGGAAGACAGGGACGATTTATACGCACACAGGGAAACGAGCAACGAGAGGCAGGTGAGAAACAGATCCAGACAATTACAGAGGGAAAACTGAGGAAGTAAAGCAAAGCTATACACACAAAGATGGCCTACAACAAGATAAAAGAGGAAGTACTGAAAACTGATCTAAAGAATAAAACACAGAAAATGAAGGAAAGACAAAACTCACAAGAGAGGAATACAGGGGAACAGGAACAATAGGGAAAAGAAACACCAGGGAAAATACATTCAAATCACAAAACAACCAGGGAAAAACTAAATCAACAGAACATATCATGACAATAGCTCTTCTTCTCTTTTTTCCAGATTCAGCAGCTGGAGACGCAGGTGATCGATGCAGAGAAACGAGCCTTCACCGCTCAGCAGCAGGTGAGGAGCAAACAAACCTTTCATCATTTGTGCTGTCTGCGTGTGTGAATTTGTGTGTGCGTGTGTTAAAATTGTCTGTGTGTGTTTTCTCAGGCACAATGGATGGAGGAGAAGCTAAAAGCCACAGATGGTCCATCAGGAGACTCTGAGGTGCTTTTGTTTCAGAGATGTCAGGAGCTTCAGGTGTTGGTGCAGGAAAGAGAGGAGGTCATCACCCGGCTGGAGCTGCAGCTGGAGGAGCAGGTAGAACATCAGCATCTGGAGAGCTGGAGGACATTATTCCTATTTTGGTGTAAAAAAAAAAAAAGAGAGAAATAAATTCCAGATGTGGCAACATTTACACAGTTAACAAAGTTCAAAGTTAAATAATTGTGTCGCACTGTATTTCCAGAGAATTCAAGGCTAATTTTCTCTGTCAAAGGAATTTAATAGCATAATGCTGCAGGGGTAGACAAGCAGCCTGTGTAGTCTTCTATCTTACATCACAACAGCTTTAAATTTGCTTTACCCTCTGCTGTCAAAATCTGTAATTTTCCTTCACAGCGATTTCTGTCTCTACAAAAGTTGTATTAAAAACATTTTTTCATCAATCGATCATATTCAACACTGGATGATACGAACCATCCTGTGTTTTGCTTGGTAATATTTATTTGTTGTTAGGGTCATATGATGGTTGTAAAAACAGCAATGTAATTTCTTCTTCTATTAGTCAAAGCTTAAGTTGTTTTTATATTAAAAACCAGTGCACACAGCTGATAAAAAGATGTCTTATTTTGATGATCATCAACTGATGTTTTTACGTCTTCCAGAAACAGAACCGACTCCAGGACGCCAAAACTGTGGAGGAGAAAGCTGCTAAGATCAAGGAGTGGGTGATGCTGAAGCTGTCAGAGGTAAATAAATGAATGTACCACAGACAAAGTCATACTGATGAAAAAGAGGCAAAATTCAAACTGGGTGTCTCAGTTGAGGTCACCAGCGTCTTATTTTGTATAATAATAGTTTGATCCACGTGTTAAGTCATTTTCCTTCTTCAGTTTGAGGTGGAGAACGCAGCTTTAAGAGAAACCAACAAGCAGCAGGAGGCTCAGATTGAGGAGCTGCAAAAACAAATGCTGGGTAAGAGCATTCAATCTTTAAATTTGTCTCCATGTCAATAATAAGTTGATAAGATCTCTGCACTCACACGCTTATCTATAACAACACTGTCCCAACATGTCTGTGAAGCATTTGAGCAGAAGTGTGCGGCCGGAGGAGCAAGAGGAGTCCTGAGCAGACCAGGTGAAGCTCAGCGCCTCAGCAGCCTGACGTTTGGCTGTTTCCAGGTGAGGGGGAAGAGTCCACAAGTCCTCACAGGCCCTGCCCCCTCCCAGAGGACCCTCAGCATCCAGGGAGAGACAGAGGACCAGGAGAAAACAGGTGAGTGCCTTTAGACCACAGCTTCTCATCTTTGGTACAGTTTTTTCCATTGTAGCTCTGTTGATCATTGCTTGTGTGTGTGTGTGTGTGTGTGTGTGTGTGTGTGTGTGTGTGTGTGTGTGTGTGTGTGTGTGTGTGTGTGGCCTATCTTGTATGTAAATTCGGTTGTGCCATCTCATGCTTCTGATTGGCTGCTCCGGCAGCCAATTGTGGTTCCTTTCATTTCATTTTATTATTTTTATCGAACATGTGTGTTCAACACCAAAAGTAAACTGAAAACAAACGAAACCAATGAGAGTATTTGAAACAACAATAACAATAATCATGGCAAAAAAGTACAAATAAAATACGATAAAATAAAAGAATAATTAAAAAAAAGAAAAAGAAAAATATTTCTTTTTTTTTTTTATTTCAAACCTACCCCTTCTCCTTAACTCAATAATACCAGTCAGTATCCAGCAAAATTATCGTTCTCATAGTACTTTTTCCTCGGGTAAGTTTTTTGTGTCGTGGTATTTCTTGGCTGGAAGTTTTTTGTTGGTGCGTGGGGAGGTACCGTGGCCAAGAGCCGCCACTACTGCAAATAAAAAAGAATGCAAAAAAAAGAGGCCACAACAGAAGTTACTGATGCAAAAAAAGAAAAGAGAAACCGAAGCCCACTGTAAACAAATAAGAAGTGAACTCTGATCGTAGATCGTAAAACACCAGTGCATCATCATCATTGGTCCCCGGCAGCTCACTTTCGATGTGGCTTTTTGTTTTTTATCTGCACTGTTTCTTTTTTTTATTTTATCTGTTGTGACTTGTTTTTTTTGCATTCCTTTTTTATTTGCATCAGTGGCGGTTCTCGGCCACCGCACAGAGGTATTTGTGTAGCACATAGCTGTCAAGCTCTTAAGTATTTCGTTTTGCCCCGGAAACTACCGTCCTTGTTCCCGTTGTCTTCCCATATTGGTATTGTCCTGAGTAAAATATGAATAGAAAGAAAATATAATCTGCCTCTTCAAACTGAACTCTTGGGGTTTGGGAAATTTCCCTGTCGAAATCAAAATTTAACAGGTATGCTGTGAATACTCGTCATAAAGAATGTTTATTATTCACTGTTTTCATGAAAAAGTTTCAGCGATAGTGGTTATTCTGTTCTGCTGATTGTTAACAGAAAGGAGTGGCGTGCAGACCTCCTCCTCAGGATCAGTCCCTGAGCTCCACAGACCTGATCACGGTGAGCTCCTCCAGGAGGACAGCGCCTCTGAAAGTCTGGGTGAGAACACATGCGGATCTGAGTCCCGTGGGGTCTCATCTGTGCTGTCCAGCGCTGCATCTGAGGGGGAGGTGGGAGGAGGAATAGAAGATGGAGGTGAGAGCAGAGGGGCGGGGCTTGAGTTCAGCCGTCCTGGCAGTGAAACCTACCTGACAGCTTCAGATGACAGCAGCTCTCTGTTTGATGATGACATGCAGAGAGCTGAGCGGCCCCACTTCAGCCTGCCGGGGGCGTCAGAGGGGACACTTGGGGGGAGTAGAGATGGAGGGGGGAAGCCTCACAGGGAGGACTGTCCCTCAGAGGAGCTCAACAAACGCTTTCAGTCACACAGACTCGACTCCTCGTCCTCTTCAAGTGAAACAAACACCCCCAGCCCAATTCTCACCCCAGCTTTCACCCCAAAACGTCCCAACCCTCCCCAGGACCCAAAGGACACTCCCGCCTCCCCCAAACAGCCCCGCTTGCGTACTCCAGCAGGGTTTGGTCTCATGAATGTGGCCCTGGCTAAGAAACACCTGAGCCAGCCGCCCATCAGCCGCGAGGCAGCGCACGGACAAACACGAAATGCGTTAAGCATGCTCCGGCCTCTCCGTCCACATGAGACGGACCTGGACCAGGAGCAGGAGGTTGTCATGGAGACAGAGAAGGATACCCCATACCAGCAAAACTCACCTGGCTTACCTGGTTGTACAGAGATCAACCAGGAGAAGCAGGATGGTGACAGCTCAACACCTGGCAACAAACCTCCAACACCACCCTTACACAGGCTGCCGTCCTGGGTAAGAGAATCTGAGCTTATTCTTATTCAAAGATTTTAACATCCATGAAATAGACTGATATTCATACTGATGGACAAAAAACAAGACCATATGTGACAGGGTCGACATTTTCATTCTGCAGTTTCTAATGTCTTAAGCTGGTGGTGGTGTCAGAGGAGCAGCTGGATGATATGCTCCGTTTTTACATTACCTATTTAAAAAAAACTCAAAATAAATGATACATTTGACTGTGAGAAGTCAACACCATAACATTTATTATCAGAAGACTCTACTTAAACATGTGAAGGATCTCACGAGTCAATGCATTGAAGTTTATAAAACATAACCATTCTTTTAGCCGTTTTCACTCATTTTCATACAGCAGAAGAGGCATATCTTCATTTCAAAACAAAAGTGTGATCTCACAATGCAGGAAACTGGGCTACCCCAATTCAAGACAGTATTTTTGTTGAGTCAGAGCATCACCAACAATGGTTTTATGACTCAGTCTCTTCTGTAAAGAAGTTTCTGTTCATGGACTGGTGACATGTATGAAACTTTACTTTGAAAATCATTACAAACAGATGATGAAAATGGCATAAAAGTATGTCAGTTGCATTTATTAATAATGTCTATGAAGTAAGTTTTTCATAAATAACACATTAATGCGGCTGTGTTGAGTTTTATGGCCACTATAATCAGTGTAGAAACAGGATACTGAGACGGCTCTATTTTGTGCGAACAGATTGTTACATAAACCTCTGCAAATAATGAATGTGACAAAATAACATTTTAGGAACAGATTCTACTCACATGTTTGTGATATGTTTACCTGTTAAAATAGATGAGATGAGGATGTGCTTTCATCATAAAAACATCACTTACACATATTCAAGATAATATTAATGAAGGAAAATTAGTTGTAACACTTTATCCACGTGAAACACCAAGATCTAAACCCTTTAAATTCCTCACAGGACCTTTAAGATCATTGTCTTGAGGTAGAATTCCCAAAGTGTTTGCTGATGTTTCCACAGGAGAGCCGCATCTACGCTGTGGCTAAATCAGGGATAAGACTCTCAGAGACGTCCTGCACAGACGCTGCTAGTAAAGGTGAGAACACCTGTCCAGATCTGTGTCATCTAGTGAGGTGTTAAGCTGAACAGTGATCTGACTTATCTGTGACCTGTGTTACAGACCCGTCCCTGCAGTCCTCCTATCCTGCTTTTGTAATGTACACCTCCCTCATATACAAAAACATGACCACACCTGTTTACACCACACTGAAGGGGGTAAGATGGATTTATTAACCTTTAAACCTCGCAGAAACACTTTGTGTTTTAGTGTAGCCTGTGGGTTGTTGGTATTGATGTAGTTTTTGGCTCCACCTCTGATCTGCAGAAAGCGACCCTGCTGAGCAGCTGTCCATTCTCAGACGAGTCATCGAGCTCCGAGGAGTCCTCTAGTTCAGGGGAGGAGGATGGCTCCATCTGCAGCTCCCGCACCTCCTCCAGCTCCCGCAAAGACAGCACCCCGGGCAGCCCGCGCTCGCTCAAGAGAGGTAACCCAACCCCACATTTTTGCAGACGAAAAGTTCAAGAAAAAGCAGATTTTTTTAAATCATTATTTTATCTTGTTCCCCATTATTTCAATTTAATTTGTATTTCTCTTTCTGGACCCTGTTATTTGTTTGTTTGTTTGTTTGTTTGTTTGTTTGGTTTCTGATTTTTGTTTTGTTTTTTGTATTTTTTGTTTTTTATTTTATTTTCTTATATTTTATTATTTAAATTTAATTTGTATTTCTCTTTCTTTTTTTCTTTTTTTTACAAAGGCAGGGGAGGATTTGTTTATGCACATTTATTCAACATGTGCTTTGTTTATGTTCAAACTGAAAATGCCAATTAACAGATAATTTAAAAAAAAAGAAAGAAAGAAAGGAAAAAGCAGAAAGTCAGAGTTTGAAATTGAGATTTTGACATAAAAAATAGAAAGTCCAAATTCAAAATCAATTTTTTAGATCAGAATACACAGAAAAGTTTTGTTTCTCTCCTGTAGCTGTGTCTATGTCATCGATGACCTCAGAGAGCGACTACGCCATCCCGCCTGACGCCTACTCCACCGACACAGAGTGCTCTGAACCCGAGCAGAAACTGCCAAAGACCTGCTCTTCATCCAGCGACAATGGGAGGACGGTGAGTCAGTGTGCAGGTTCCTCCAAGTGTTCTGACTCTCCTGTTACCCAGAATGCACCACGTTACAAGCACATATGATGTCAAGTTCAAGTGAGGATTCCTCACTACATAGAGAATTACAATTACAATAACTTAAGTCAGTTTAAGTTAATTCACAAACAAAATTACCTGGTTTTAACATTAAGGACATCTTAAATATTTTGCGGACACGTGTGGGTTACTGATTTGTAAACTGTACAGATACATCTGTGTGTATTTTTCAGGAGCCGATGGAAAAGTCCGGCTACCTGCTGAAGATGGTCAAGACCTGGAAGAAAACCTGGAAGAGACGCTGGTTTGTCCTGAAAGATGGAGAACTGCTCTACTACAAATCACCTGTAGGTTTTACACACGGACACACAGCTTTTCTTACGAATGGCATTTAGCAATAAGCCTTAAAACTTGTGGATATTTATTTTGACAGGAAACATGTTGTCTTTTGTTTGCCCAGAGTTAAATATCTGCACTCAAACTCCACAAAGAAAAAGACAGACTTTAGCCTATTCATAGACTTTGCTTCTTTTGTCACCATGTTGAAACTGCAAATGTGAAAATGAACTGTGTATAAAACGAAAAAGTGAGAAAAAAGTCACGGCTTAAAGAAACTTTTGAGTATGAAGTCCCTTTAGATATGAACCTAAATGCAGGATAATATGGTCTTCTTCCCCACAAATGAATTTTTGTCATTCTTAATGGAGCTTATCAGTAAAGTTATTCAATTTGATTTGAAAAAGATTTTGAAAATGTTAATGAAAAATGAACATAGTAAAAAAAATAATAATAATAACTTTATTTGTATAGCACTTTTAAAAACAGAAGTTTACAAAGTGCTTTGACATGTAGTCATAGAGCACATGGAAAAAGACAGATAAAAACAACAAGCTCAGTAAAAACGGAATTGAAGGCCATTTTCATGTCATAAGGGACTCAGACAAAACAAGAACCATGCAACATCAAATGAGACCATGGGGACCAAAATAAAAACATAAAATAGTTCAGAAAAAAGAAAATGCAATTAAAAAGGGGGCAAGCAGACAGACAACAAAAGGTAATAAAGACAAACTGCAAAGTTTAAAAATCAAAGTAATCAGTAATGTTTGTGGTGTATCTGGTGTTGAGTTTATGTTTTTCTGATGCCTACATGTTGTTTCTTGTCTGTATGAGTCTTCTTGTCCTGGTGGTGAAATAGTTTCCCCTATGCAGGATCAATAAAGTCTACCTTACCTTAAATCGTCAATCACTTTGATACTTTTAGTTTTCTGATGACTCACATATCAAAAAAGGAGTGAGAGGAGAAGTAATAACATATTAAGTCCCCCTGTTGCTCATTGATTGGTAATTATCAAGCTGGCTTTCTTTGACTTGTCCAAAACTATTGATTACCAATGGTGATAAATCTGAAGAAAATGTTGACATTCTGTATGAGAAGTTTTTTATTCTTGTGTCTTTTTTCTGCTAAGAGCTAAGAGGATAAATCTTTTTCTGTGTCCTTCAGAGTGACGTGATCAGGAAACCTCAGGGTCAAATCGAGGTCAACGCCAGTAGCAGCATCGCCCGTGGAGATGGAAAACAAGTCCTTCAGGTATTTTATGAAATTATCAATACTCTGGTTTAGCTGATATCCAAACAAAAGATTACAGCTGTGTTTGTGTTGCTGTACACAGATCGTGACGGGGAAGCGTGTGTACTACCTGAAGGCTGACTCTCCGAACCTGCTGGATGAGTGGCTAAGGACGCTACAGAGCGTGCTCAGACTGAAATCTGCCAGTCCGCTCTTCACTCAGCCAGACATCCGGCCCAGCATGAAGGGGCTGCTTGTCAAGGTTTGAAACTTAACATTACCACTTTAAATAAATTTGATTAGATGCATGAATTCACCTGGGCAGATCGATGGCTTCTGTTTTGCACCGTTTGAACATTTTCAGCCCCACATTTGTTTTGTCAGAACCTCCCTGTCCTCTCTTTGTTGCAGGTGAAGCACGGATACTCGAAGAGAGTTTGGTGTGCTCTGATTGGAAAAACTTTGTATTATTTCCGCAGCCAGGAGGACAAGGTGAGATCCAAACTAAGTCCTTCCTGTCTTTTAGTTTTTAATCATTAATTGTTTGTCGTTTTTTTTTTTTTTTTTTTTTTTTAGAGTGGAGGGCATGTGCAAATGTTTCATCACAACTGCAAAGTGTACAACCAAGAGGGTAGCATAAGTCCTTAATGTTATTTAATATTTTTTAGGTAACATTTAGCACTGCAATGACTGCTAAACACAAGTTTTTCACAGTTAAGCAAGATACCAGTCATATTTGAAATTCAACACAAACCAGTGTGATAAATACCTAAGAAGTGTCTTAATTATGTGCATCGTGAATCATGGGAGCTGTAGGTAACGGGGCCTAAACTCAAACAGCAACACACCTGATTCAAATGATCAGCTTGCTATCAAGGTCTGTGATGGCTTAATAACGAGCTGATTATTTGAATCAGGTGTGTTGGAGCAGGAAAACATCCAAAACATGCAGGACGGGGGGAGGACTGGACTTGAGAACCACTGCTCTGCATGAAATTCAACCACAGGCTGATGTAAACTCACCTGTTGTTTATCTGAAAACCATCAGACAGGTGTAAATGGAGATCAATAGTATTGATAGTATTCAAACAAAAATACAATGATGAGTGGCTTTACGACCATATTTCTAGAGTTTAACCACTAGGCGGAGCTATTGAACAAGAATTTTTACAGAACAGTTAAGATTTCTTCCCAGGGTGGTTATGAGAGGTATTAATCTAAAGTAGGTGTATAACATACAGCAGATAAATTGTAATACAGATTATTATAATTATAATTATTGCTATTTATAATAGTTTTACACAAACATTTACTAGCTTTTTACTGTTTGTTATAAATGCATAATATTGAACTTATGAAGACCTTATAAACCTTGCCCAACATTTTCCCACCCACATGCTGTATAACAGTGCAAATGTGCATTATTATATCAAATAAAAACAAATAGATAATGAGTGAAGACTGAGTGATAACCAAACACCCCCATTCCTCTGCTTTGTGATAATCACATTTCTATACTTTTTTCTATAAAACTGGTTGAAGATTTCACTGTGGTCATAAGAAATGTGCTGTAGACACTTGGGGAAGTCTTGCTTATGTTAAATAAAATCAAGTGTACTCTAAATTTTTTAGTATTTTTACTGCTTCAGTTTGACAATGTTTTTTACAGACAACAACCCTGTATTCAAGGGCACCAAGATGTGTCCTGATGTGTATCAATGTGTGTGTTCTCAGTTCCCTCTGGGTCAAATCAAGCTGTGGGAGGCCCGGGTGGAGGAGGTAGACAGGTCAAAAGACTCTGATGATGACCTAAAGGCTTGTGGGCGGAGCTTACAGGTCACACCTTTCACTATCGCCATCCACCCTCAGGAGCAGGGGCCGACCTACCTGCTCATCGAGAACCGCCACGAAAAGGTCAGCTACGCTTAGAAACAACTTTTCCTTCTGCCCCACCTTAAAGAAGTTTGAGTTCAGAACTAAAACTCTTTTTATGATGAACAAACAAAAGGAAAACCTGATCTGACTCCGTGTTTTATTATTGTATCACATGAAGATGTTTAAACTAGTATTGGGCTGAGACGAGTCCAGAGGATTGGGTGTGCCCCAAAGCAACAATACTGCGTAGCTTTCAAATATGTCATCTTTCTAATTTTTACTAGATTCAGTTCTGCTATCACTAAGACACAAGCATTATTTCTCTGTTTGTGTTTATGTCCGTCTCTTCCCTCTTCACTGATGTTTGTGCGCGGTGCTCTGCAGGACTCGTGGCTCTTTCATCTGTCTGTAGCAGCAGGATCCTCGATGGGATCAGTCGGCACCGACTTTGAACAGCTGGTGGGAAAACTCTTCCAACTGGACGGAGACCCGAGTCAGTTTCTCAGAATATTTATCAGCTTTCTGTCATTGTGCCAATGTTTGTAACCATCATCAGGGTTTTTGTCCCTTTTTTCAAAGTCAAGGTTCACCAATCGTAACTGACCATATCACTGAATAGCACTGAATTATGTGACTTATTATGAGAGTTGATTATTTGCCACCCACATAATCACGATCTGAGCTCCTTGAATCTCGAAAAACATTTCACAAACCTTAATACAAGTCAGAGGATTCAGTTGATTATTTTCTGTATTCAACATGCAAAACAAGATCTGGAGAAAAGGTACTTGTGAACGTTTTGAAAAAAGCAGCATGTACAGCTTTTCTATGGTGTGAATGTGTGTTTTTCTAAATTTGTTTCTTACAAAAACTTTTACTTCTAAGTTAGTTTTTCAGATCAAATGTTTGGACTTCTCCAGTAAATTCGTTTGACAGCAGTGAAACAGGTTTCAATGGCTGTAACAAAGAGCCTGCTCAGAGTAATTCTGTTATAAATGTTCCTTTCTGCTTCTATCCTTTTTAGTAGTGAAATTTTCTTTTGTATTTTAGTCATTTGTTTGTCTTTTGTGTTGCAGACTCTCCAATCTGGAGACATCCCATGTTGTGTTTTAGTAAAGAAGCTCTGTCGTCTCCTCTCACCACGCTGCCCTCACTGGCTCTGCAGACAGAGGCCGTCAAACTCTTTAAGGTACAAACATACAGAAACAAAAAAGTGTTTCTTTTTTTAAAAAGGACTTCCATCATGTTTTGTATCATGTATTTTTTAAAGTCTTATTGTTTGTGTTGAAGACTTTTTCTGTTTTTAAATGATATTCAAGGTCTTTCAAATTAGGACTAGGTTTCAGACTTTTGTTACATACGTTTCAATAAAACTAGAAGTGAAACAGATAAATATATGTGTCTCTTTACCATCACATCATCACAAATAATACCCTCAAAAATCTTGATAGAGGCAAAACAGAACAACTTACAAACAAAAGCTCCAAACAGCAGTCTCTATCTTTTTATAATGTTTAACAAAAAGATAATTTCTCTTCTTGTGTGTATGAGAACAGTGGTTCTCGAGGCCCACTGTCCTGCATGTTTTGGATGTTTCCCTGCTCCAACACACCTGATTCAAATGATCAGCTCGTTATCAAGCTCTGTAATGGCTTAATAACGAGCTAATCATTTGAATCAGGTGTGTTGGAGCAGGGAAACATCCAAAACATGCAGGACAGTGGGCCTCGAGGACTGGTCTTGAGAACCACTGGATTAAAGCATCTGTCCTTTCTCTCCTTAGACTTGTCAGCTTTTCATCAACGTGGCCATTGATGCCCCCGCCATCGACTACCACGTCTCTCTGGCTCAGAGCGCCCTGCAGGTGTGTCTGACCCACCCTGAGCTGCAGAATGAGTTCTTCTGCCAGCTCATCAAACAGACCCGGAGGAGGACACCGCAGGGGCACCCTGGTCCCTTGCAGGTTTGTGATTTCACCACAGGGGGGCAGCGGTGTCATGCGTTAGTAAAACGTAACAATGTCCAAGCAAAGATGTTCAAAAGGTGGCTGATCATTTTAAAAGACAGTATAGGAAGCAAATAAATGAAAAAAAAAAACAGATCTCTTTTTGATACTGCTTTTTTTTTTGTTGAAGACGTGTTTGCAGGATGCAGTGGTGAGAAAATGCAGTGATATAGCGAGGCACAATGACTGAACTTTGTAAACTCTGATTTATTAGCCTTAAAAGTAAGACGGTGCCCCAATTCAATGTTTTTCAATGTAAATATACACACTGTTAAGCTCTTATCTCTTTAAAGTTCAGTGAATCATTCACATGAAGTCCTGTTCATAGTTGCAATGTTATCAAACAAAATTCCTGAATGTATACTTTCTCTATCTGAAATAATACTTAAACAGGAAGCATGTATATGTACTCTTGCCAATCTTGCTCCACTATCAGCCATGATTTAAAAACATTCTGGGTAGTGACTCCGCTTTTTTGGCAGGAAACTGAACCAGAACTCAGGCACTAAAATTCAGCAGAAATAACTAATCATGTTGCTGGTTGTCTTATTTTACCCTGTATTTCATTAAGAAGCATCTGGATATGAGTGTCACTATTTCAAAATGTCTACAACTCCTCGAAGTGAGTTTAACAATTTCTAAAATCACACTATATATTTATGAATTCAACAAAAGGTGCAAAATACAAAGGTGCTTCACTCAAGATTAATATTTCAGAGAATTTGTTGGAAGATAATCATCAAAAAGGCCAACTGTCTCCTCAATGTAAACACCTCTGTCCAGATACTTAAAAATGTTAAATATCAGATCCACAGAATACTAGAAACTCCTCAAAGTCATGTGATTATCATTACTCAATCAGCAGAGTCATCAGTAACACCAGCAGAGGGCACATACAGAGATGAGTCCTCACCTGTCGGCTTAAAAATAGAAATCCCGTGAGATTATGTCTCATCATTAGGATTGAAAAATGACAGGATGAGTCATTACACAACCGTGTGACTCTTTGTGTCCATGAATGAAAGACAGTACCTGTAACATGGGGAAGCTGATGGGTTTCATTACAGCAACTCTTGCTGCTTCTCTGTCCTGGTGTTTTTGCTGACTGTGTGCATGTGTGTGTGTCTGTGTGGGTGTTTGTGTGTTGTTTTTCAGGGCTGGCAGTTCCTCGCCCTGTGCGTGGGACTGTTTCTGCCTCAGCATCCGTTCCTCTGGTTGCTGCAGGTTCACCTGAACAGACATGGGGACTGCAGGTGAGATTACGTTGGGGGCTGAACATTGATGTGACCGAGCAAAAAGCAAACATTCAAATAAGAAAATCATTTATTGTTGCTTTTCCACCAGATCAGGAAAGTTTTGTTTTAATAAATTGGTCATTTCGTTAAAGTGGATGTTTCGCTCCATTTTTCACTTTAACTGATCAATAGAACAGATGATAGAAATCAGTGAAGTTGCTGGTTCGATTTCAGATCTGTGACCATCTGATGCACGTTGCTCCCTGCATACTTTTAAATGATAGGTTAGAAAATCCCACTTTGAGCCTTTACAAAGAATCAAACAGCACTATCATAAGAGTGATTCTTCACAGCGTCCAAGTGTTATGAAATAAGTAGGCGTGGCATGTTAATAACAGGTTCACATACTTACACACAGTGTTGTTGTGACATGCTGGAAACCCAATTCACACTGACATCGTTTTACCTCCTTTATTCAGCTCTGTGACTCTGTGCTTTACCTTTTGGCTGAACCCCACTAATCATAGTTGTTTATCTCATTATATCAACTTTAGTAATGACCGCAGGATAGCAATACACGACAGTCTGTGTAAACCTCAACCAAAACGCCACTCTATAGCCACAAATAATGCTCAGAACAGCACCTAACTTCATCAACAGTACATGTAGGGTCCCAGCCACAGTACTAGCCACCAAACATATTTTTAGTTTTGCCTAATTTCTTCAACAAAGAGACTAAACACAACTCACCTACTCTCCTCCAGCAGCCGCTTGTTTGTAGCGAGACCTCGGGCCAGTCCATTACAGACTGCTGAGGGGTGACGCAGCTCAAGGAAAACATTTACTGATAATTTCTTCATGGAAATGTAATCAGACCGAGACGCTTAGGAAGAAGAACTACCGCATCTATAGTGCAAAATGATGAATATGATGATTATAACTTCAAGGAAATGATAAAGTAATGATGATAAATGTTCTTCCTTGAGCTGCGTCTCAGGTATAACTAGAGAATCAAGTGGTCGGCAACATTCATCTTTCGAGGGGGTGTCTAACTCGTTGTTACGGTGTCCCTTTATCCCTTTAAATCTGAATATCTCTTTATGAATTTTGTCTTTTATGAATCTCTCAAACACATTGAAAAACCCAGATATAACTCAGTTAATTACATTATTCACATAGCCTAGTTTTATAGTGATAACTTACTGGATTGTTACTTAATGAAAGGATCATTGATTATTGATTTTGGTTTTAATTATTTACCTCCAGTTGTTTTGGAGAAGTTTCTGATGTCTCTAAAACTATGTAACATGTTTATATATGTTTTGTCATATCTCTCTCACGTCATCAGGACTGAAGTGGGTAAATATGCCATTTACTGCCTGCGCTCCATGGAGCGAACCCAGCAGAAGGGCGAGAGGCAGGCCAGGCCATCCCGCATGGAGATCCTGTCCATCCTGCTGAGAAACCCCTATCATCACTCTCTGCCCTTCAGCATGCCCGTTCACTTCCTCAACAACACCTATCAGGTACACACTCGCACACACACGTACGTATACAGGCTGTACAGAGAGGTGGAGCATGAATCTTCACCTGAAGTTGCCGGACACTCACGATCACAGAATGTGGAGTGACTTTTGTGTTCGTCATCTCTTCTCACTAATTAAAGGCATAGTGAGGAGTTTTAAACTCAGTGAGTTACAGACTAAAACTGATGCTGATGGCTCTTTTTGACCTTCAAAAGCAAACGAGACGAGATGATTTCTCTGTTGTCTCTGCTACTAATGCCTGAAACTGCTGTGAGGAAGTAGGCGTCAGACCGGATGATTGACAGCAGACTGAAGAAACTGTCTTTTGTTGTTTTCTCACAGCAAATATTCTCAGTGAGTGATATCAAAAGACAGGGGGATTTGTTTTTCCAGTCGCTGGTTGTGTTTGCATTGAGCCACACGGTTATTCTTCTTTCTGCGGAGTCTACGGTCACGCCCATAAAAAAACATGGGAAATTAAAACAGTCAAGACAGACAAAGACTAAAACCTGCAAAGCCTCATGGGAGCATAAATGTTGCTACTACTGCTCAGCTTTACATCAATCACAGTTTACGCAGACCGTGATTAAACTGTCATCCTGTACTGCTTCACCACACCTATCACCTACCTGTTCACTGTGCTCTCTCTCTCCCACTCTTTATGAATGCAAACAGGCAAACAGGAAGTTTTTGTCTTTGCTTCTTTGACTCAAATACTTTAATTTGTAGGTTCTTGTAAATTCTTTAAAACTACTTTTTAGGTTAAGGAAACATTGTGTGGAGTAATTTTTAGGGTAATTTCACTTGCCTTTGCTTATGTCATTTTGCAGAATACAGCAGTGTGATCTTCAGCAAGCTTTGTGATTGTTACTGTGAATCTGCCATCATCAAAAAAACTGAAAAATAACCTTACATACAGATTATCTGAGACCAAACTGTTGCCCAGTTTGTGACTGTTTACTTACTTTTACTTTCTTTTTGAGTTTAGACTCTGCAACTGTTTGACTATATTGTGGGAGACATCCAAGTTTGGGCTGATAGTGTTAATGTTCTTAAACCTGCAGCAGAACAACAATACAGACTACAAAAAACCCTATCTGAGTAGATTCCTATTGTGGATGTACTTTAGTCCATCTAAATGTTGATATATTTTAGCTGTTTTTTTTCCTGTTTAAAAGTTCCATTATAACGTTCTGAGAGCCAGTGTGAAAATTTTTAAAGAGTCATCGAAAAGTCATGAAAATCTAAATGAATTCTCAACTTTGTTTGCAGCCATGAGAGCAGAAAAACTACACTAAACAAAAAATGTAAGAGGATCTTCATAAACTGATGATCAAAAGCAAGCACAAACTCGTCACTGGGCTGAAGAATGTTAGCGTTGTCTTCGTTTTAAAAAGAATTGTGTTTATTGACAACGGAAAGGAAACAGAGGAGAGAGCAGGGATTGGCATGCAGGAAAGTTGCCGCATCCATCCCGGGCTGCTGACAATATCCTTGTCATGTTAGCATGCTGAGTTTAGATTTAGTTTGAAGGACTGCCAAAGCTCTGTAAAAAATCATAGATTTGCTTCTGTGAAGTAATTAGTCTCAAAAGGCTTCCTTAGTTTTACTACATGGTTCAGAGTGTTTAGTTTAAGTGCTGTCATGATATCAGCTTATTAAGCTACAGGTTTAAAAATCCTTAAATGTAAAACCTTGTTTTCATTGCACTTTTTCCTGATTAGCTTAAGTCATCAAATACTGTATTTGTTTTGTTACCCCTGAGTATCACCAGATAAGCTTAAAATCTTTTGATTTTCTGCTGCATTTAGATTTTTTTCTCAGTGGAGAAGTAATAAAATGACAAAAATTCAGATTTAATGTGCTATTAACCCAGTGGTTCTCAAGTCCAGTCCTCAAGCCCCCCCGTCCTGCATGTTTTGGATGTTTCCCTGCTCCAACACACCTGATTCAAATGATTAGCTCGTTATCAAGCCATTACAGAGCTTGATAACGAGCTGATCATTTGAATCAGGTGTGTTGGAGCAGGGAAACATCCAAAACATTCAGGACGAGGGGGGACTCGAGGACTGGACTTGAGAATCACTGTATTAACCCATTAAGACCTGAACCCTGTCTGAGACACGCCTCCGAAATCCTGAGGGCAATTTTGAGAAGGGCCCCCAGATCCTGAGGTTTTCTGAAGTGTTGAGGTTTACAAAAAAGCTGATATCTCAACCTCTGTAGCAGATTGAAACAAAATTCAAAACGTACTTGAGAGCTTACACACGTGGCTTTCAAGATAACTATCTTTTGTTTGTCCAAACCTTCATCACATTATTGAAAACCTTGAACAAACAAACTCAAATGAAATAAAGCGGCTGTATAAATAAAAGTAAAGGCACTGCACTGGAGAATAACAAACTATTTGCTTTCTGTTACACAAGTGGCAGTCATGATAAAGTGTCCATTCAACACAAATGTAAATAGAAAAAATAAGTTGTTGAAAGGGTATGTAGCTGCCCCAGTATAGTGCCAGTACAAAAGCAGCACTAAAAACTAAGAATTAAATAACTCAATAAATACGTGGCTGACAGTGTGTTCATCTCTGTTCTCAACTAAAGTCATGCAACACTCACAGAAATTGCCGATAGTGTGAGCCAAAGCTCTCGATATGAAGAGGTTGTTCTCCTCCGATCTGCTCTCTGCCTCCGTCATTGTTTACTTTCCTCACGAAGCACGTAACAAGATCCAAGCATGAATCTGATCGCTTTATTAAGCTTTATTAGCCGATCAGAGGCAAACAGGTTTGGTGGTTTGATTTGCCACGACTCCAGAAATTATGGAAAAACTACAGAATGTCACAAAATTATGTATCCGCGCTCCCGGCTTTAAGAGTAGAAATGTGTACATGCTTCTCCAAGCTTGGAAGGTTGAAATGCATACATGCTGTCCCGGTTTAAATGGGTTAATATCCTGAAACCCAGCAGTGTGATAAACTGACAGTTGTAAACATGGTGAGTTCTGCAGCTATATCTCAGGAGACTGCCATTGTCATTACTGTCATATTGTTTTTCTTTGTTCAACATCTGCAGGTGGTGAGCTTCGATGCTTCGACCACAGTGGATGAGTTCCAGAGTCGCCTGAACCAGGACAGCAGCATGAGGAAGACCGGCCTCTCTGGTTTCAGTTTGTACACAGACGACCCTACGGGGCGAGAGCTGGAGCACTGCCTGCAGGGAGGGGTTAAGGTGCATCCTCCACTCATGTGATGATGATGACTCTCTAAAGACAGTTTGATCAGTGTCTCAACACCGCCATATCCTTTTTCTATCAACTTCAGATTTGTGACATAATCTCTAAATGGGAGCAAGCCTCCAAGGAGCAGCACACCGGCAAGTCTGAGAACACCAGGACAGTCCGCCTCACCTACAAGAGCAGGTACCTTTATTCTCTTCAACTCACCCCTGATTCACAGAGCGCTCACAAGCACGCAATGACTAAATTTTACTGGAAGCATTTCGTTCAGTCTTACACAACAGACTTTGGGAGACCATGGAACAGTGCATGTGTTTACCTCCGCCAAGGAGGTTATGTTTTCGGTAGCGTTCATTTGTTTGTTTGTCTGTTAGCAACTTTACGGAGAAAGTTACAGATGGATTGACCTAAAATTTTCACCAGAGGTGCGTCTCAGCCCCAGGAGGATCCCATTACATTTTGGTGGTAATCCAGTCAAAATTCTGGATACTGTGATCCAGAACACACAAAAATAAGGGTGTCGTTGGAATTTTCAATGCTGAAAGATAACCAATGGGCGGCACAGTGGTGTAGATAGGCGGCACAGTGGTGTAGTTGTTAGCACTGTCGCCTCACAATCAGAAGGTCCTGGGTTCGAATCTGGATCAGGGCATTTCTTGTTTTAGGAACATTATGAACAGTGAACATACCAGTTTAAACACAAATAAAAGACACGTAACAGTAAAAGTTTTGGTGTGAATCACAATATAAGGGGGGACATGAGCTGCTTGCTGGAGGTCTGCGCTCTCCGAGTGCTTTTCTAGTTAATTATGTGACTTGGGTAATTTCTTCTCCTTTATCGGAAATTTCCTGAGCATTTTCAAAAGTACGGTTTACTCCAACTTATTCGGTCTCTGAATTGTATTATTATCACTGTTACATGTGCTGCTGACCTCTTGGCCAGGTCACCCTAGTAAAAGAGGTCTCGATCTCAATGGGTTTCATACCTGGTTAAATAAAGGTTTAATAAATAAAAATAAACAATTAGTTTATAAAAGTAAATATTTCCACCTTAGTGCCATGATGTGTTTTTGGTTTTCAATCAAAAGCCTCTGCAGATAATCCTGTTTGCCTTTCCTGGCCTCTAAACTCATAGATCAAACTCTGCAGGCTGTAACTTTCACTTTGTGTGTATGAATGGCTGTGTTACTGAATCAGGTGTTTTTTTGCAAGAGGCATGTTTTGCATATAATGATTGCAGAATGCCTCATCTAAATCTAGCACCAACACGCACACTGATGCTATTTGCTCTGCAGCACAATTAGTGGTGAATTTAACCCCTCATACATACTTTGTAAGTTAGTCAAGGTCTCCTTGTTCAGAATCACGCAGCAAGTCCTTGAGTGAACCAGGCCCTCAAACTTTACAAAAATTATTTTTCTGTGTGGCTTATAAATCAAATAAGACATCTTTTTAAGCCCATTTCAGCTGAAAGTTGCAGCCATATGAGACACTAAGCAGAATATTTCCCCCACTCTTTTTTACATCTCTTTTCTCCAGCTGTTTAATGCAGATAAAGCAAAAGTGTATCACTCCTGGGAAGAGGAAAAGTTAAATGTTGTTTCCCTGTTTCTGCTCTCCTGTCCACAGGTTGTACTTCTCCCTCCAGGTCAGGGGGGAGTCAGAGAGGGAGAGACTGCTGCTGGCTTATCAGACAAATGAGGCCATTGTGGCGGGACATTTCCCGGTCAACAAGGAGCTCGCTCTGGAGATGGCCGCCCTGCTGGCTCAGGTCTGAGAACTATGAATGTACATCCATATTTGTATTTATTTAAATAGGATTTACTGTGTTTGAGCTGTTGTACAGGGGTGCAGGTAGAACTAGCAACACAACACACACGGTGTTTTCTAAAAGAGCATACTCTTCTAGTTTTCAGTATTGTGTTTGTTAACAGGTGGAGTTTGGGGATTTTGAGCGCCCCTTCTCTGCTCCTGGATCAGCCCAGACCAAGTCCAACCAAACCCTGAAGCAGGTTCTGGACAGATTTTACCCCAAACATTACCGCAGGAGCACATCTGAGGAGCAGCTCAGGTATGAGACAGGAGCTCCTCTCCAGTGGAAATCAAGTTTTCTTTGATTGAAGTGGTCCTTGCTGAATAAAGTTTCCCCACTCTTCCTTCTCAGAGTGCTGCTGCAGCGTCTCTCAGCCCGCTGGGCCTCCCTCAGGGGTCGGAGCTCCTCAGAGTGCGTCAGGATCTACCTGACTGTTGCTAGGAAGTGGCCTTTCTTTGGTGCCAAATTGTTTGAAGCAGAAGTAGGTGACCATCAGTATTAATTACATTTAGACCCAGTGGTGTGATGAATGTTCAGTTTGTTTCTTGTGTGATTGCTGCACCTCACAGACAGTGTTAAACACAGTTTAGCTCTCTTGATTTGTTGAATTGTAATGAAATTATGTAAAACTGTCTCAGAAAAACACTGTGATGTTTGTAATACATCATACAACACACAGCAGGTAAACTCAAAAGTCAATCACATTTCTCCAAGCTTCATCAATGCTTTCTCTCACTCTAAACTGCAAGGTAGTGAGGAGCTTGACCTCAGTAGGTTATTTTACTGTGGTGTATTATGAAAATGTTTTTGTGCTCAATCCAAAGTCCTGTCTCTCTGTGTCCTTTTAGTCCATCACTGCGTCTCCACAGCAGGGTGTGCGCGTTTGGCTGGCTGTGCACGAGGACGGGATCAGTGTGCTGGAGCACAACTCTGTGGTGAGCTCTGATGCCAGTTAGCTTAAACACAACAGGTGTCAAATGAATGTGAAAATGGAATAAGGCAGATTTATTGATTGGCTGTATTGGTAGTGATGGTGATGGGTAATGAAAAACTGATGATAAATGATAAGACAGCAGGTAACAAAAAACACAGTGTTGAAAAGTAGGATTAAAATAAATATTGTACTGATTGTGCCAAAAGCTCACTGCTGTTTGAGGACAAAAGAGTGAAACTGTGTGAATTTTTACGTCATTCTAGTATTTGTATAAACACAGTCGCACACATGATGCACGGGGTCTGTGAAAGGTAAAACTCAACAAGTATGTAACTGTTATTTATCAAGGTTTTAAGTGCAGTTTTATATTGCTACAGATCATTACCTTACCTCATCACTAATGTTGATTTAAAAAAAATATGTATTTTTTCTTTGACTCTTTCTTTTTATGGGGTGTGGTTGGGGGTCTGACTTCAGCCACTAATATCCCTAAGTCCAAGAAACATTCCTTAGGCAAGAAGTCTGGACAGACACTCAGAGCACTTTTAACCACAAATTCATCTTCAGTGATTTATATTTTATCATTGCTTTGTTAAAGTTTTACCAAACTAGTCTACAATGAGGTTTGGACATGGGACTGTTAACTGTAAAATGAGACAGAGGAATGAAGGCAGAGAGGATTACAACACAATTGTTGTAGAGCAGTGACAACATGAACACTGCTCCTCTCAGCTCACTCTGCCTGTTACAGGAATGCATCGCTTGTAATTTAGGTGATGGAATATTTGCACAGCAGGAAGAACATGGTTGGTTTTGAATATTTGGGGGGGAAAAGCACACTTTTGCAAAAATTTTCTCTTCAGCAGAACAAAAAGTAAAAACACGTTATTTACTTTCCTTTTTTATTTCTTTTTTTTTTTTGTTTCCACATTATATGCACGCTTTGATAAGAGCCACATCTGTATGACAATAGTTGATGGTGCTCATGGGAACTGCAGTCCTTATCTCAGACAAACACTATTGATTTTGCCCAAAGGGATCTGCAGAGCAAACACTACATGAAAATGCTTCTCAAAGTGCCTTTACTACACTGTTGGCTTTGGTTTGGAGCAGCTTGCACAGCTTGTGTATAATGACATAACACAAGTAAATATGATAAAAAAATAAACTATATGTATATCTACTATCAAATAAACTAAGATCTTAGTTAGATCAAAGTTTAATTGATCATTAAGAAAACAGTACATAACTTAAAACATGATGAAAGAATCAGGAATGGAAGACTGAAGGTAAAAAAGATTAAGAGAAATGTTTTATGAAATAAAAGAGTAAAAAAATGTATTTTGCACTTTGGCCAATGAGTTCATTATTAACAGCTTAATGTGAGCTGTGAGACAAATGTCACTTCAGTGGATGTAAAACAAGAAGGCGGTGTGCAGCTTTCCTGTCACAGCACACACATTACAGGATTGGATCATGAATGAAAATATTGTCTCCTTCTTGTTTTCTTCTTCTAAATCTGTGCATGCAGAAGCTGTTAGTGTCCCACTCCTACAAGACCCTGATAACCTTTGGAGGCTGCAGACAGGATTTCATGCTGGTGGTGGGACAGAGCATCGGAACTAACACCAGCAAAGACAAACCGACAGAGAAACATCTGTTTGCCATGGACGCCTCCAAGGTGAGACAGAGAGAGAGAGAGACTATGACTCCACAGAGACAGCCTCCCTTGTTTTTTATCTAAAGCCTCTCATCCTCACTGTGACTTCTTGTATATTTTTTCTGGGCAACAGATCCGGGAGATCACCCTCCTCATCTCCAGTTACATCAACAGCGCTCACCAGCAGAAGGCCGCAGCCCACCACCTCTCAGCCCCCGCTCTGATGGTCGCTCAGCCCATCAGCCTGAAGAGCAAAGAGCTGAGGAGCAAATCCCCCCCGGCACTGGGACGCCCCAGCAAGGCCCCCACTCTGCTGTGATGGGACATCAACATCACTAACCTCACTGGAAAAGTTAAAAATGGCTGCAGGTGGTTCAATCTAGCGATATCACAGCCACATTCAGATGTGTCTGATTGAGTCGGAACTTATTTGTTGTGTTTACTTTTTTGTGTGTAATTTTGGGCTTTTGTGCCTTTATTTAGAAAAGTTGATGGAAGACAGGCTAAGACACAAGGAGGCCAGAATGGGCAATGAAGGGGCCACAGGCAAAAATTGAACCCAGGCTCATTTTGGGGAACTATAGGCTTTGTAAATGTGGCAAGAAGTTCTCCACTGAGCCAGTCTTGTGCCTGAGATTCAATAATAGTCAGTAAAAGGGGAATTTCAGGGTGAGATATTTTATTTCATAGTAGAGAAGGATGTCTTCCTACTTGTCCTCAAAACTTAAGGCCTGGCTAGTTTTTTTTTATAGCTGAAAACATTGTATTACCAATAAAAACCAAAGCAAGTAATAACTCAGGGTGAACACTATCCAAAGCGAAAGTAAAAGAGACAATCCCTTTCAAATTCTTTCCTGACCTTTAATAAACAAATCAAATCCAAAGGTATTTATTAAACCTCGCCCTGTAACTGAAAGAAAAACGGATTCAATAGAAAACAATAAGATGCTGGTGAGATCAAACAACAACAAAAAAGGAGAAGGTGGGTTTCAGAGCCAAGATGGCAGTTTAAATAGAACGCCCATTCTGACTTTCACCAATTGTATGCAAGGAGGGTTATCGGCTGATATGGGCCGTTGTTAGGACCTGCTTGACTTTCATGCTCTACCTGAAATAACACCATGCTCAATTTTACAGAGAAAAATATACGACAGTGCTACGCCCCACCCGAAGGCGGCCCTATGGGGCTAACAACTATCCTCGCCTTTTGACCCATCAAATTAGCAAAACACCTTCAAAAGTTTAACACGTGATTTATTGTGACAAAATAACAAAACTAGAGAAGCACTCGGAGAGCGCAGACCTCCGGCAAGCAGCTCATGTCCCCCCTTATATTGTGATTCACGCCAAAACTTTTACTGTTACATGTCTTTTATTAACGTTTATTTGTGTTTAAACTGGTATGTTTACTGTTCATAATCTTCCTAAAACAAGAAATGCCCTGATCCAGATTCGAACCCAGGACCTTCTTGCTGTGAGGTGACAGTGCTAACCACTACACCACTGTGCCGCCCATTGGTTATCTTTCAGCATTGAAAATTCCACGACACCCTTATTTTTGTGTGTTCTGGATCACAGTATCCAGAATTTTGTCCAGATCACCACCAAAATGTAATGGGATCCTCCTGGGGCTGAGACGCACCTCTGGTGAGAATTTCAGGTCAATCCGTCTGTGACTTTCTCCGTAAAGTTGCTAACAGACAAACAAACCAACAAACAAACGCTACCGAAAACATAACCTCCTTGGCGGAGGTAATTACAACCTAAACACAAAGAACCCAAAACACAAATGAGAGGCAGCAGGGCAGCAGTTCCCCGCCAAATGACTCTCCAGACTGCAGGCAGCTCTGGGCTTTTAGACTCTCAGCGCCAGGTGAGTCTGATTGGCACTCAAGTGATTTCACCTGGGCAGCTATGGGGAGACAAAAGGGGAAAAACACACACAAAACAAACACACAGCCATAATAAAAAGACACATGAGAAGGACATCCCAAATCAGCTCCCAGAAGCTCTAGGAAAGGGCCCAGATAGTCACTATGTTGTAACAGCTGATACAACTTCTGATCAGTGTAGAAACAGGCTGAGAGGTGAGCTTCCTAGCATACAGCTGCAGCTCACACACATGCAGATAAACTCAACCGCGCCCCTATTCATGCAAATTTATGCCGAGCTCTTGCCTTACTGTAACCAAATTAGATGACTTATAAGAAAGTGGACCCCTTGTGCAAAAAAAAGGTCTTCCTAATCAGGCTGTAAATGCTGCTGTTTCTGCTCTAGGTTTTTACAGGTGCGTTGATGAGGATTCCTCTGCTTTTGTAGCCCGTCTGGCGCAATCACTAAAAGAACTGCAAATATTTGTACTCCCACATTGGCTTCATATTTCAGCACCTGAGGTTGCTGCTCGGTATTTAGACTGGAGCATAAATTATGTACACCAAAGTTAAATCTTAAACCCACTTAACAGTGAGATCCAAAGCAAAGAGCCACGGTTGAACTCTTGAGGGCCTTTTATCTTTCGCTGACATTTAAAACATGACTTTAAAAGGTGTCAGATATTATCCAACTGTGAGGAGGAAATCTGAACACAATGATGAGCGAAAGAAACAAACAAAAACAATCAAAGTGCAGTGAGGCTGTGAGCGAGAAGCTGAGGAAGGATTATAGAGAACCAGTCTCTGCTCCCAGTTACTGATTGTCCAGAAGAGAGGGGAAACTTTGATCACGAACAAACACTTCACAGCTTTGTTTGAAAGGGGTGTATGACCGAAATGGGTCGTGGAGTCTGTGTTTTTACATGACAGTGCTTTTTTTTTAGAGAAGTAAGGCAAGGTCAGCAAGTGGGAATGTGTTTATTTATGTTAATGTAGAGAAAAGAGGTGTGAAGGTGTAACTGAAGGTGAAGCAGAGAAGTATGTTTGTAATGGAGAATATTTGAGTTCCCTGTTTTGGTGTTCAAGAGACCACATAGGGATTGAAGGTAAATTCAGAAACAGGATGTGATTTTATGAATGGTACTTAAGATAATCACTTCCTCTTGTATTAGTATCATATTTATTTGTCCTCTTTGGAATATTTGTTATATAAGTATTATAAAATAACTAAATAAAGCCGACTAAAACTACAGAAATCAAACTGTTTGTTTCTCTGTGTCTCTAATCCTGAAACCACAACCCTCATTTTTTCCAGCTTCACTCCAGTTTCTCTCGAACAGTCCTGCCTCCTGCTTCCTGATTGGTCGATGCGGTCTGACGTGCTGATACCTGCAGCAGGTACCTGACAGGGAGTGACGCACCCTCATTCCTAAAGTCTCTCACAAAACACAGAGAGAGAGAGAGAGAGAGAGAGAGAGAGAGAGAGGAGCGGGGGAGGGGTGGGAGGGGATATGTGATACCCAACCTGTCTGAACTAGTTACAGACAGGCTTTTGTCCCTGTGTCGCTATGGTGACAAAGAGGGGGAAGGGAGGGTATACAAGGGGAGAAAAATTGGGTGAGGTGACAAAAGCTAGAAATAAAAGAGTTGACTTTTCATAATGTGTTTGTTAAAATACTGTGGAAATAGAAAAACAAGCAGGAAATCCACAGTATGTTTTAATGCTGCTGCTCTTTCAAAATAAAAGATGCAGGAAAGAGTTTCATACATTTTTGCTTTTAACTCTGTTTATTTCGAAATCAGGATGAGCAAATTGTTGTTTCACTGCATGTTAAAGGTTACACAGGGACGGTTACCTGAAGAGCCGTTCAGCTCGAGCACAAACACACACACACACACACACACAATATTCATGTTGTGACAGGTTACACAATGGCTCTACTCCCTCAGTTTTACATAGTATTAGGAAGCTACTGTGAAGCAGATCTGTGCTCACCACTTTTAGCTGCGGTATGTCTGACAGGAAACAGCTCAGAAGCCACTGACAGGGTGTCTCTCTAACCAGAGAAATAAAGTGCAGTACCCAACAAAGCAACGGAAAACACCACTCACAAGTCATAAAAGCGCTCTCTTGTTTGTAGACAACGCAGAGAAATAAGATACCTCATCATCTCTAGCTCAAATGTCAGTGATGCAGAAACTGTTGTCCCTCTGCAGCAGTCTCTCTTCTCATCTTACAGACTGAAAATGAACCAAAGTGTACCATCACATCACTCCTGTTTTGGCATGCTGTCACTCATTCATTCATAACCACACCTAAATTTGTATTACATATCCTTTTTTGACTTTATGGTTCATAACACACGAAGAGTTGGACCAGCTGAGACATGAGCAGCACTGCTCAGTGATGTGCCAGAGTTTATCTCAGACTGGTCACCATCAGTTGGGATTGAGGTCCCTTGGTCTGTTGATGACGCAGTTTGGGTGGACTGACTTTGGAGATAGGGCCGGCAGCTGAAGAGGTGCCAGTTCACTATTAAGGTGCCCCTGAGCAAGGCACTGAACCCACAGCTTCCTTAAAACAGATCACCAGGCAAGACAGACTCTAACAGCTGAACAGCTTTGAGGACAAAATCCCCAAATGAGACATCAAACTAAACAAGTGTGAAGGTAGCCCTGACCGCTCTAAACTGCCGGTTCCTCTTGTTCGCATTTCAAGATCACCTCTCCTCAAAGGTCAGCACATTATACGCAAGGTGTCGAGGCTTTTGGCTGCTGAATCTTGGTCTTATACTGTTTATGTACGATCACCACAGATGACTTTGTGGAAAAGTATCAAGACAATTCATCCAGAATTCAAAGCCTCACACTTGAGACAGAGTAATTAATCCGGTTGATTGTTTTCGACTTGTGCTGTATGTATCGTACCCAGCGATTTACCCTCACAATAACATCATAGTTTTATCTTTTTTTTCTACTATTTTAGACATTTTTTCCTTTCTTTTATCAGACTTTATAACACCAGCTGTTATTTACTTTGCTTGCTTTATACAGAGCCAATTTGTCATTAATATATGAACTAATCTCCAACCTGTTAATGGTGAATATGTGTGCCTTTGTATAAAGTGTTACCACTGAGTTTATCATTAACACTCCAGCGCTTAGCTTTGACTTTTTACTTTGCTTGTAAATAAAGGCTGCTGCAGCACTTTTCAGTCTGAATGTGTGTGTTTATTGTGTACATACTGCTTGTGTTCATTTGAAAGAGAGCGAGAACCAGACCGACAGGTTGAACGTAATACCAAACATCTTTAGAGAGAGAGAGGGATACAAATGACTAACCGCTTCCTTCAATACTGACTAACAGGTGTTTTCTTAGAGGAAGAAGTCAACCAGTATCACCGGTACAGACGACACACTCATGGCTCAAAAACACTGATCACTAAAGCCATAGGTTGAGGACGAGAGGGACAAAAGGATCTCACTTTAAACTCAATTAATTCTAATCTCTTTTTCATGTTTTTAATGAAGTAACTCCAAAAATGTTATCAGGTTAATCTATACAATGTTATGGTCCTCACAGGTTAATTTTTTATCAAAATGTCACCAAGAAAACCGAGGCTGAACAGGTGACATGTATGGCAAAGCGGCAAACAATACCGGGAAGTTGATGTATTCAGAGCAGAGCTGCCACACCCATCCAGAAACTCACCTGAGTGAAAAACCTCCACTCAACCTGCCTTGTGTAAACAATAGTATCCCCATAGTAATCCCCATGATCACACCAGCCATCTTATTAGAGACTAAATGCATTCAAAGGAAATTACATCAATGTGTTTGTCATTTCAAAGCAAGTGTCAGTGTGACTGAAGTTTCAGTATTAAGAGTGAAACGCAATCTTTAATTCCCTCTTGCCAATCCCCCTCCCCCATCGTATATACAGTACTTTTCCACTGTGAACAAGACACGAAAACATCTCACAGTACAAAGAAAGATGGCTTCACCACTATGGGAGTCTTTTAAAACACATTTTATTAAAAATAATCCAACAAACACACATTAGTAAGAAAGAAACTGTACAATCTATGACATGGACTTTAAAACTTTGGACATAAAAATGCGGCATGTTTGTAAAAGCACAGTTCTTTATGGCATACAGATTGGATGATGGTTTTAAGACTTTACACATTTCATAAATAAATGGTCTTTCCAGGAGTGCTGACAACATAAAAAACAATAAAAGCAAGTTGATTGTTCCTTTACATTTTACAATCCTCAAGTATATGGTGAAAATGGCACCGTCCCACTGCAATGAAGTCAATCCAAAGAGGTGATGTACAAGCTGAATCTCCAGACTCTCCTGCTGAGATGAGACCTTACATGGGATCCATCTCTCTTTGCTAGAGTAGGAAAAAAAAAAGCCCAAGTTAAACAAAAGCGCTATTGTATAATGTTGAGAAATACAATGACACAGAAAGGTTGTTAGAAGTTCCTCTCACCTGGGCTTTGTTGTACCGCTGATTCTGACGCCTTCTGGCAAGGAACTAAAACACACAAACAGGAGAATTATGACTCAATCTCGGTTTACAGCTGACAACAACCTTTGGTCAAAAAAGGACAAAAAATAAAACACAAAATATTCTCCTTACCAGGACCAGCAGTCCGGCGACCACAGCCAGCACCACCACCACGATAACAGCGATGATACCACCAGACAGGTTCTTCATGGTGAAGGTGGGGGCCTCCTCATCCACATAGTACACCAGGATTTTCTCCATCTCCAGCTTCTTGGTACCCACCATCGGCTCAAACTTCTCCTGATCCTTGAACAGAGGCAGAACCTTCACCTGCATGAGGGAAGAAGAAGAGTTTGGTCAACCAATGTAACGCTCTCTAAATCAAAGCCAAATGTTCATGTTGATGTATTAACCTACATCTTTCTCCATGTAGTAGGCCATGTTGGTCAGGTCAGTCTTTCTTTCTCCTTTTGGCTTCTTCACATCCACAACAATCATGCGGCTGTCTTTGTCATACTGCAGAATAATATAACAGAGTTATTTGATTTTGTTCTGCCACAAGTATTTACCATTTATTGAGAAGTGACACAGTAATGCATGTTTGCCAACTCACCTCAATGGAGTCCACAAACTTCTTGTCGAAGCCGGCGTAACGTTTGTTGATTGCATTGGCAATGGCACTGTAAAAGAGGAGAAGACAGTTAAAATGATGTATGTATATGATGTATTCAATAGACTCTGTTAAGTTATCAAACAAAGTAACGTAAAAAGTAAATAAACTTACTCCTTCAACTTGGTTTCATCCACCTCCCCATCCACTGGTTTGTGTGTGAGCTGAAGACGAACCCAGCTGGAGTAAAAAAAATAAAAACGTAAGAATTAAACTTGGCCCTACAAACGTAACTCCGCCCAAGAAAAGAGTCTCTTTGACATGAAATAGGAAATAATACTTCTGTGATAAGTGACCTCGTGGTGTGAAAAGAATAAAAAAAATATATCAGGGTCACTTTTTTTTTTTTTAACTCTTTTGACAATTAAATGAGTATTTTTTTCTAAAGTTAGGACCTTCTTTTGTGTCTAAAGTGAAAGAGCTGCCATCTGTAATCGTTGAAAAGGTCCAACAAACTTCAGTCCACACCCACATGGTCTGTGCTTAAGTTGTCCATCTGGTTTAGACCTTAAGTACTGTTTTGTGTGTAGTGTGAGTGTGTAACCTGTGTGTTTTCAGAAGTATTTAAAAAAAAAAAAAGAGAGAGAGAGAGAGAGTGGTCCGAGATTTGAATACTCACTAAGTCTCCACCAGCTTCTCACACTTGAGGTTCTTGTCCCCCTTGTCTGTGCGGCGAACACCTGCACTGTTGACACACCAGCACTCCTCGGTGTTGTTGCACTGCTTTGCCTTGAATTTGCCATCATTCTCACAGTCAGGGTCGTAGATACCATCGTTGTCCACAAAGGCTGTCTCCACTGGTTTTCCTCCAATTGTACGGGTGTCCAGGCCTTTTTTGGCTCTGTACATCTCAGCCTTCATCAGGAAGCATTTAGGGATCACTAAAAGAAGAGACGAGAGGAAGAGAAATCAGAGAAAATAACCTATAGGACTATCTGTGTGAAATAATGAAATGATGAAAGCTGGTACTTACAGGCATCGCACTTCAGCGTTTGTTTCATGTTAGCGCCGACCAAGATGGTGCACTGACATGGAGTCCCATCACAAGTGGCCCACTTCATGGTTGCACATGAACCTGTTGTTAGAAACACATTCACACGTTACTTTAACATCAATATCAACAACTATTTACACTAACATTTATCATCTCGAGGTTTAGCAAAGCTGTTTTTCAAGCTTCCTTGCTCTTTAAAACCAAATTAATATGATTAGGATAGGTAGACCAAAGCCTCCAACTTTTATGCATTTCAGGCTTTAGAATGACAACATAAGTCCATGTAGATTAACTCAAAGATTCAGTGAAAGTAAGTTGACTGTTGTGTCTGTTGAACAGCCCTATAAAGAGAGGGCACAGCAGGTAGACAAGCAGGTTTGTCAAACACCTGGGCGTTGGTTTCCCCAAGGAGTAGGACAAATCCTCCCAACCCCCACCCAACAACCAAGCAAACCACAAACAGCTTTCATACAGTTTTAACATCTTTCGTTATTATAAACGATAAATCACTGGAAACAGCAATGGAATGTAAAATATTTTGCAAATAAATGTAAATTTTAAATCGAAAATGCCCTTAAAAAGGACAAACCCGAGAAAAAGTCCTTAAAATGACTGGACTTATTATCAATCCCCCAACGTTTGGGTAGTAGAAGCAGGGAAATGCAAGTTTTAATATGTCTATGTAAAGTAAAATACTCACAACTTTGTGCAGAGGCTCCCGCCGCGAGCGCAGCAAGCACGAGCACAATCCACATATTCATGGTTGGGTTTAAATAAATTAAAAACTGACAAAAGATAAAGTTTCCTCCTGCTGCTCTTCTGTCCGTCCGTCGTCCTCCGAGTTCAAAGATGGAGTCCCTTCGATCCACACAAAGTTCCTTTCTTCTTCTCTCTGCAGGTGTGTCCCGGTCCAACCTGTTTGAGGAGTAATTTATGGAGTGCGCGCGCACACACAGAGGCACAAAGGTAGTTGTAAGAAAGCGCGAGCAACAAGTATTAGTAAGTGTGTTGCTGTTGATTGGTTGATTCCCCTTCAGTGACTTTTGTCAACTGATGCCAGGATGTTATGAAGCAAATATATAAGACAAGATGTTTCAAGACGTCACCCTCATTTACATAAGGGAGGGGGCTGACGTCAACCACACCTTTTACCGGTGTGACCATATTTGGTCTCTCCCTCTCTCTCTCTTCCCTCTCTCTCTATCTCTTAATTTCGGGTCTCTGCTTAATTTTAAATTCCCACAACCTATTTCATCATAATTTTCCCAAAGGAATATCAGTAATAGTTTTCTCATATTTAAGAAAATTTTACATATTTATTGGTTAAAAATCACTGTCACACATACTATTCAGTCGCCACTGTTGTTTTTTTTTTTTTTTTCTATAAGTTGTAGATTTTCTGATATTTATCTCAAAAGATGAAAAAGAAATGATCCCAAAGACTGTAGTTTGTAGATTATATGAAACATTACTTATACTGATCTGTGTAAAGCCTTTAAGAGAGTCTTATTTCACCAGAGACAAAACAACAACAAACATCAACAAAGACACAATTAATCAGTAAAACAAAGGTCATATACCACACAAACAAAAATGAAACAATAAAGTTTTAAAACCTGAGGGGGACATTATACAGGAGTTTAAACTGTTCTGTGTAATGACCAATTCTTTTAAATGACAAAATATTACATAGATTTGACAAAAATATATAAAAAAACATATAAACATGATACAATATAACTTGTTATAAAATATATGATATATTAACACAAATAGCAAGTTTAATTAGGATTTAACGTTGTATATATGACAACATTGCTGTAAAGTGAAAGACTGTGTGACATGATGACATCAGCAGCAGGTATCTTACCTGACAGAAACCAGAGGCAGGAAAACATTTCTTAAGTGTTGTGAGTCAGACCGGGCTGGACGACACAGCTGAGTCACAATTAAAGGGTCACTAAGACAGTCTGTCTGAGCATATGGTTCAAACAATAACATCCTTTTTTTTCATCTTTATCCTTATTATTGTTACTTCTTATAAATTCATGAAAATCAAGATGGCAACTCTGAACAACAATGTGGAGATAAAGAGAAATTTAGATGAGAATGTACAGGAAGCATTTATGAAATCTCTGGATCCAAACTGTGATAAGAAACTAATCAAACTAGATGATAACAGTGTGTGAAAGGAAGCTTCAGGGACATTCTTTAAGACTTGACGCAATTTGGGTGAACTATGCTGTTTCCAGTCAGGGCTCTTTAGCACTCCTTTATTTCCCTTAGGGGCCTCTGATCTAGTATCATGCAGGGTATGTGAGTCTGCTGTGTGTTCCCTTGGGCTTTCATTGGGAGAAAAAAAAATATCAACAGAGTCTGGTCTGGCAGCTTTTAAACCCTGGGAAAAAAATAAAATCAGGTGACTGATGCAATCTATGGAGCTTGATCACAAATACTGGTATTATTCTTGGCCCTTTACCATCCTACCTTCAGACCTACATCATTCAGAAGAATACAGGAACTTGCAGTCTTGGTTCCCAGGATCTTTATTTGCTGTTAAGCCAAAAGGTCAGAATTGAACAGGGGGGAAAGGGCATTAAAATTTGCTAAATTTTTAACTACATAAACTAATCTCATTGGGTACTTTTAAGAGAAAGTTGAAAGCCTTGGAGGCAGGCACATCTAAATGCAAATGCTTTGATTAATTCTTAATTCTAACTGATTCTGGAAAATAGCTGCTGCTTAAATTCCTTAGTGTATGTTATGGAATACGTATATTGTATTAAGTTGTTTGTCTGGCTTTATGTACACCTGAAACTCTGTTCACAGCTGCTGTCTTTGACAGGACACTCTTGAAAAGGAGGCTGACGTACATCACAACAGAACCCTAAGAAAGATAAACCGTTTCCTACATCTCTAATGAAGGTATGTGTCATAAAGCATCAAACCAAAAAGTAATAAATAAATAAATAAATAAAGAGATTACTTGTATTTTGTGCAACTTTAATACAAAATAATTAACTATCAGCATTAATACATTGAATTTCCCTCCAATGATCAATAAAGTCCTTCTTTTTATCTTATCTTACATTAATCCTAATAAGATTAACAGACCAATTTTCAAAATCCTGTATGTTGTCTCTTGTGAGATGTTCCTCTTTTGACATATAAACCAAAACCTTTGAGATTTGATGTGTTGTAACACAATGCACCAAGTTAAATCTATTCAAACAAGGGGAAACACACAATATCCTGATATTGTTGGTTCTGATTTACACACACCTGAGGAGACAAACTATACAAAATCAGTTTCATCTCCCTTCAATGTGATTCATTTGAGTTTAACTGTACATCAAAAGTCAGAGAGTAAGGTATATACTGCCCTCATGAGTAGAGCAGTGGTACTGCACATGATGCCCTCCTCCTGTTTACATTATGTCCTGAATGATCTGATCACAAGACGATGACCTATCTGTCAGTGTAAATACAGGGAGAACACTCTGGATATGATGACTGAGACCACATTCAGAGGCAGTGCTGTGAAAACAGTTTATGGACACCCACAGTGGGGATCCATGTGTCCTGAACCACGGCAAAAGACCCCCCGCTCTCTGTAAGTATCCACCAGCATGCCTCTGCTTCTGTTGCTGTTAAGGACGGGCAGGCTGCAGCATGTTGTCTGCTCTGCAGAAAGGCTGATTGGCCTATTTCTGTCATCTCCTCAGGGATCTGAGGCACACAGGTAACATCAGGTAAGACTGACCCCTCCCACCCTCACAGGCAGCTGGGGGCTGCCCCCTCTGTCAGGAGGCTGCAATCTTTATAAAATCAGTTGAGTCCAAAGATTTAACTTGGAGTGGTTGACTGTTTGTTTCAATTAAGATTTTGAAGATTATTGTTCGTTTTTTGTCCCAGTTGGGATTTCAAAATGTAGGTTTATGTACAGGTACATAGCCCATAACAATGAAAAAGTTTTATTTTATTTTATTTTTAATTTATTCATTTATTTCCTTTTTTTGTGCAATCACACAAATCTACAAAAACGTAACATATTTTTGATAAAGAAAATTGTCTATGTGTCAGCCAAATGGAAAAAATGAAATTTTAATCCCCACGATCTGTTGACCTCATTTGACATTTCTTCTATTTTATGTAAATCTTCATTTTTAAAAAATGATATGAATCACACCAATCTTAAGTGAGCTAAGATTTATATTTCCACTAATGTGACACATTTTTGGAGATATTTTACACAGAATCTCATTTTTGGTCCTTCAAAGTGTGTCACGCCATCGGACAAAAGGTCACATTTAAGGACAAAAGTCAAAGTTATTGTGGAATATTTTACACCCCAAATGTTTTTCTTTCACTTTTAAAAATGTCCATAAAGAAATAAGACAACCTCTGAAATTTTGACACATACAAGTGATGTGACATACTTTGACAACAAAGATTGTCACGGTTTTTCTCCAGATAGATTGTCCACTTCTCCAGCATTAGAGGCAATAATCCCATAAAAATTCAACATATACCTCACAAAACTGTGATTATCCTGCAGTAAACATTTAGTTATTGATGATTTTACATTATGGGTTTAAACACTTTTGTGATTATTTTGAATGTTGATGTTATAGCTGAGTACATAAAATCCACTCTATGTTGTTTCATGTTATTGTAACTTTTATGATCTTCTTCTTTTTGAACTTATCTCTCTTCAACAGTTCTTTCTGTCACAGCACCTAGAAAAAAATAATTATATGAATCGTATTTAATGTTTTTTTATGAAGATTTACCCTTTTCTGCCAAAAATTTCAAATACCCAGAAATTAACATTTGTTTTACTATCTATTTTATTTAATTCCCTTATTCATATCCTGTGCTTCCTGTTTAATCTTGATACCCTTTGGCTCCTGTTGCAGGTTTCTTGATGTCTTGCTCCCGTTTCTCATTCCTGATTACTCTAATGAGCCTCACTGCACTGATATCCGTTTTTCAAAGGCTGAAGCCAGAGAGCAGATTGGCTGATTAACACACGCTGATAAAGCAATGAGTACACCCTTATGTTGATGAATTGCTGCTGTGTCTGCTCAAAATAAACATGGGAGAAACTTTCAGTGACTTTTCCAGTTAAGAAAGACGTGCAGATTTACACACGTGGCACACTAGCTTAACCTTATTAATTATTACAACCTCTGGACAGCAACAGGATCAGCAGGATCTAACAATAAATAACATCCTGTAAACTAGGAAGGAAAGTAATTTTTGAACATTTGTTTACTTGTTTTTCTTTGTTTGAAAGGTTGCATTTGAGTCTGTTTCTGACTAAAGGGATGTTTTGGAAATAACTTGTCTTTCAGTAAGAATCAATAAAGGATCTCAAGTCAATCAGTTGTCTTTGTATTTTTATTGCAAGCTGAGTAACAGAGAGTGTGCTAACAGTCTAAGTTACCAAATCTCACTGAGGCAGTCTCAGTGAGTAAAGAATTATAACAAAATAAGGAACAACTTCTGGTTGCATCAAAAGACACCATACTTGGCATGTCAAAAACACAGAAACAGGATACAGGTGGATTCCCACCGCAACAGGCATCAGACAATACCACATGAAGTAATCTCATTGGTTGACCTTAAAAAAAAACAGGAAGATGCATATGGTACAAAACTGCTGAAATGTAAATGATAAATTGTGTGGTTCATACTCCCTAAAATGAACAGAAAGGAGTGAGGGTAGAGCAAGGGCAATACTGTCATCCAAGAGCAGACAGGGGAAGTAAGACCAGGACAAAAGGTAAAATTACATTTATCACGTAGCACATCTGCAAAAAAAAACACAAAAAAAAAACCAACACAGTTTTTCCATCTCAGGAGAGACACTATTAACTTCCTTATGAGTATAGGAGCGCTGCTGATATCAGTCATTTTTCTCCTTTTTGTGCAAAGTAATACTTCTGGAAAGTAGCCATACATTCGGAGGCTAATACAGTGAAGTGATCTCAATGCGTTAATGCATTTGTAGATTCAAACAAATTACGAATCCCTCATTGTTATAAAAAGCCCTATCTTTAATGTTTTTCATGTTATGAATTCAGGACATTTTACTGCAGAAACTGATACAAGTGAAGAGAGTACTTCTGCCACTACTCTTCACTTGTTTTTTTTTCAGTGGCTTAATCCACCACACACTGACCGGCAGATCAGCAGGTTTAAAAATGATTCATATATATTTTTGGCAAGTATGAGAGAGTATAAGAGGACGCATGGCATATTTCAGCCCTGGAAGACTGTGCAGTCTGCCTGGAGCCCCATAAACCTGTGTCTGTGTCTTTTATTCAATTTTGTGGTCAAGGTAAAGTGTGTGTGAGAGTTATTAATGGAGATTTTGGTACACAGCAAGTTTAAACTTTGTGGCGGAAGATTAGAGCCAAGGCAAATAATACTGAAAATGCATGAAGATAATATCTAGAATGGGCATTGTTTAATCCTGTTAGTTAAAGAAACAGCAGGATTACACAAAACTCATGAAATTGTAATCTCATGCATGAGAGAAAGAAATCTAGACAAAAGAAAGGAGCAGGAGTGAGAGAGTCAGACGCTGATTTCTTTTTAATTTGTGCAGGAAGTGCTTCAGACTGCACTGTAACAGTACTGCTATTTTTTGCTCCATATGGTTTCCAGCCCTTAATGGCCTCTGTATCTGTTTTCTGTCACATCAGTAAGCCCAAATAAAAAATTCTCCTGTGCAACATAAGCATTTGGGATCACAGTGCTGTTAGTTTAAAGCACATATGTTCACATTTGTGGGAAAAATGCGTTTATTTTAACATGCCAGTAAATTCTGGCGCAATGGAGGACTCTCGCTGTGTGGATTAATTTAAAGAGTAATGTTTAAATGTGCAGGATTCAGGTTGTAAACTGAGAAACAAAGAAGTTCAGCTGCTAATGTTTGCCAGTATAAGCACTTAAAAGCCTTCCAATCAGGTGGATAAGAACTGTATGTTTCCAGATGGTGGGATGCTGCAACATGCAGGCCAGTACTTCCCAAGGTCTCTGCCACAGACATTTTTCTATAAAATGTCTCAGAATTATCAGCTATTATTTCTTTAAATTACACATTTTAACTGGGTGAAAAAAGAGTGCATAAAGTTAAAACATATTTGGAAAAAAAAAATAAAAGGTTGAAAGCATTGATCCATATCTCATGGTGACATAGTAAGTCCAAAGAACAGCTATTCACCAGAACATGGAAACCCAGAAGATCACACACTGAGGATGGTTATTTGTGGAGCTACAGGTGAGGTGTTTTTCATTTGATTTTACATACTTTGGCATCATGAGAAAACCCTAATTTTAATGTTTTTCCTTAAATTAGACTTCATGTGAATAATACTATGAATACACTATTTAAATGTCCTTTAACTACATTACAGTGAACACATCAAATGTTTAAGGACACTCTAATCCAGTGTACTCACACTTTAGATAAGACGTTTGGCATCACCATTCATTCTTTACTTCTGTTTCTTTTAAAGGGGGGACTTGCTTTCGTGTTAGGAAGACAGAAATTGCGGTGGCCAGATATAAAACAAGGAGTCATAGCTGGGTATATCACATGAGAAAACATTGAAACAAAGAGCCTCTATACATGGGGCCTGAACCTTTTGACTCAATGAGCACCGTATTTCCATTCTTTGGAAATACATGAGGTTATTTCTCCTTTTTTTCAGCTTAGTCACGCTCCCTGTTCACCTACGCTTCTCCCTAATTCAGTGAGAAAGGATTTTGGTCTTTTCATTTTCACCCCAAACCAATGATGCTCTGAGACAGTACTATCTAAAACTGCAGCAAGAATCAACACATATTTATCAGCCCCCATAAGTTCTATAATGCCTTGACGTAAAAGCATCATTTCCTGGGGATCTTCCCTTGTGTCCACACTTCAAGTAAGAGGATGTGAAATCAATTCTGCTGAGAAAGACAAAAATCGCATGCAATGACCTGGGGACAAGCTCTTTCTCAGTTCCTTGTCCTCAACTCAATAATGACTCTAAACTTCTGAAATGATACTCCCTAAAACAACTCTTTACTTCTTGCAAAAAGACAAGGTAACAGCTCTCCCTGAAAGTTTGTTCATAACTGATGAGTTCACACTTTGCTTTTTCAACATGTTGTAATCACTGCCAGTTTTGTGAGTGGTCAGCTTGAGGCTACAAAACAATCATCCTCTTCTACCGCTCAGAAACAGACCACATCTGCCGCAGTCTGCACTGAACCAGATGTTTCCCGGAAAACGTCCCTAAAATCTGAGAGCCTAAACACATAAGTAATAAAAAATTTAAGGACAATGTAGTTTGGAGTGGTATTTTAGTTGCAACTAGTAAAAACACACTCATTAAATATTTCACTGCCAGTTACCATAATAAACACAATTTCTTCATCGTTTTTTTGCATTTAACGATACTCTTATTTTACAAGCACTTCACATACACAAATTTGTTTGTTTATCAAACAATCGTGAACAAGACTTTAAAAGGACAAAGATAAAACTGAAGCATCCAGTCTGACAACATCCTCCATCCACACATACAAGACAAAGTAAAGCCAGAATGACTTATAATGAGTATTTCTAAAATCTTATAGCAGTTCTTTAAGCTGTTTTCAAAAGAATATAATTCCCTAACTAAAAGCACATCTTTACTGTACGAGAAATAAACCAACCTATATGCAAATGCTCTTACAAACAATTGTTTTTATGAGGATTGACACAAACTGGGTTAACCACATTAGCCTTTACTGCAGAGTGTGGTTACTACTGGAACACAAGGCACGTCTTCTTACTGTTTTTTTTTCTTTTCTTTGTTTGTGGACAACTGTGATGACCTTACTGGGAGAGGATTGGTGTTACTAACTGCATTTCTCTATTTCCAGTTAACAAGGCACTGATTACCTGTGTTGATCTGGTGCACCTGGGCCCATAGCTCCACCCAGGATATAAAAGCCCTCGTTTCCTGTTTCTCTCTCTCGCTCTTTCTTTCTGGACCGTTTCTGCACAGACTGGTTTGGTTTTGACACATGCACACGCCATGCACACTTACACTAGCTACAGATACAGATTCTTTATGTTACTGATTTAAAAATTTGATTTTTGTAATGTTTTGGCAGCTTCTGCTCCATTTGTTCTTTTTGTCATGATCCTTGAGCGAGGTCGTGACCACAACAAACACTTAAAAACACTCCGTAAAAGATGGTGAGTTCTTGTCGAATTTGGGCTTTATGTTACTGATTGTTTGGCTAAAACAACTTTCATTAGGAATTGATGAAGACGTTCTGTAATTCAGTTGTCAGTTTATGAAGGAAAGAGTCCCTCCTCTCTTGTCTTGACTTGCCCTTACTGGACTGAACGTGTTGTTTTTCACTGTAAATTTTCCATACATTTTTCTGTAGGCTAATATCAATGTTGTGGGGTGAAATAAAGTGATATAGCCACATCTCTAACCTGAATACAAAAACCATTTTGTTTCTGTTACTGTACAAAACTTCAATATTCGCAAAGGAGCAAAATGAAACCATCTTGCACCTCCATGCGCCATACTGTAGCACAGAACAAACTATTGTAAGTGAGAGCCGGGGGGCAGACTCATACAGAGGCGATCAAAGCACTCACCACTGAAAAGAGCACTATAGCCAAAAAGGGGGGATGCTGTCTGAGCTGCCAAATGACCATCTGGGGACCAACCACGAGACATACAACCAGGTCTGATCAGCCTGTGTAGAGTCTACCTCGAATAAAGGTGTCTAGAATTTAACATCGGAAACATTAAGAGATGCTGACATACAAGACTGGGTGTGTTGTGATACAACATGCAAAATAATCATCTCAAAGATGAATCAAATGGAATCATGGTGTTGGTCTCTAACACTCCCTGGCTCTCTAAGGTGTTTTGGGCTTTTGCGTAGGCATACTGTCTGTTCCAAGAGCAATACCATGCAAGTAAATTGCAGGGCAGAAACCTATGAGAATATAAGTGCTGGTCTTTTGAATGAATCCATAAATCTTTCTTTTCATTGGTAGGAAAGCTAAGAGAAACAAAACCCTGCAGAAACTGAGGACTAAGATTGATGTCTGTTCAGTCCTGAAAGGTTTCTGTTACATCCCTCAACCCTTTAAGGGAGTGGTATCTAACCAAAATAAGCCCCTCTATGTATGTTTCTCCTCTTTTTTTTTTAGTGCACTAAAGTTTTTCTTCACCTTTTTAGGATTTTAGGATAAAGTGCATATAAACACAAAGGCAATAATAAGGAAATATCGTTACAGTGTTGGATGTAGACTGCGTTTTTGTGGGTGTGTATGTGAAATGGGTCTGTAATCTATCTTTCACCATGTACCTCCCATTTAGTTAACATTGTACAGGCTTTAGACACACCTCAGCCAGCACACATGTCCCTGTGTGTGCATGTGTGTCTGTGTGTATGTGCCTGTTTGCGTGTGAGTGAAGTAACAGAAGGAGGAGACACCAGGAACCTCCTTCTCCCCCTCCCTTTACTATTCCTACACACACCCTTACTCTCTCTCTCTCTCATTCACTCTCTCTTCAGCATTGGACAGACCCTTTGCTGCAGCGTGTCTGTTTTTACTGCTACACCGTTCACTTGTCCATGTGTGTTTTTTGAAAAGCTGTTTGTCTCTCTGAGTTTCTTATTTGTGCAGCACACTGATTCAGGATGAGCTCCCAAGACTTTGCCTCCCATGCACAGTCCAGGCTCCAGTTGGCAAAGGACACAAAGGACGAGGATAAGTTGTACAGATATAAGGGGATTTTGTACCCAAGCCTCATGTGTCCTGAGGCTCATCTTAAAGCTCTGGAGAACATGGAGGCCAGAGAAGAAGACCTCATGCTGGTGGCGTACCCCAAATGTGGTGAGTTATCCAATAACATTATTTTCCAATGATCTGAAGTCTCTCTGTATTCAAGTTTATACTTGTATAAGTCATTCATTCACCCTCCATATTGGTGACCTCTGACCAACCTCTCACTTCATGATTGTCACGCAACTGGAAGTGTACTGGCTTTTCTTTCAGTGTTGACATTTTTTTATGACAGATTGTTACTACTGTGCTTGGTCATGAGATCAGGTTGGGCAAGATGTTTTGGTATGAGGTTGTATGCAAAGAAATATCAGATTGTGATTTAATGTTAATGAACAATAAAAATCGACCATTCACAAATAATATAACCTCCCACATAAAACAAAGCATATCACAGATGTAAAGGTCATAAAGAAGTCAAGTTTAAACAGGTAGTGTCAAATAAGTAATGAAAAATCCCAAAGTATTAATCAGTTTTTAATGTACATATTAGTCTTTTTTTTATTTGTAGTGAAACTATTAATCTTTAAATTAGATAAAATGACCAAAGAGCGTAAGTGTCTACCACATAAACCCTCTGTTAACAGATATATTACCGCAGCTTTCTTCACCTATTTCTTCTCTTGCAGAATTATCTTTAAATAAACACTCACTCACCTTTATTTATTTATTTTTTTAAATAATGATAGGATGATGTTTATACAATAGTTATTTCATATGTATAAAACACTCTCAAAAAGTATCCTGTTTTATCTCTACTTCTACTACTCTACCACTAACCTACATGAAATAGTACCTTTAGACCGAAGGGAGAGTATCATCACTTTATGAAGAGTGCAGAGATTTAATCCATGGCTTTCCTGCCACATTGTGTTAAACCAACAAATGCTAACAAATGCCTGAATGCTTATAATTTTCCATCAGTCCCCGAATTACAGGCTGAGTGTTCAACTCAAAGACAACCTGAAATAAGGACAGTTGCAGCTTGGGACTGAGCTACGGATGTGATTGCAGGACAAACCTTGCGTCTAATCTCCACTTCTGTAAACATATTTCCTCACAAACTCACAAACAAACCAAGGAGAGAGTGAAATTACACTTCCGGCTTGGTTCATTTGAGGACAGATCAAAATGTAAGAACTGGGATCAAGCAGCTGGAAAACATCAGCAATGTTTCTAAACAGTGTTTCAGAGCTGGGTGCCATATGTTTTCAAAGAGTTCATGTATACTCAGGCGGTGAGCAAGGATGGATATAAAAAAGGGTTATAGACAACTGAAAAAAATCAAGATTGAGGTGCTGGACCGCCAGATTAAAAAGAACTTTTGATGCGTAAATGTCAAGTGGATATTGTGACAAATGTTACATTTAGTTTTCTTTTGATTTGTTTTCAGACCTCCAGTTTCTTTATAAGCTCGGTTACAATAAGAAAGCTTTAGAGTGTAAAAATGTTGGTAGAGAAAATGCTACTAGAGTCAGCCAAGTAATCATGTTCATGCTGGATTTTGCACCTCAAGAAGCCTGTTCTGTTTATAGTTCACTTCCTGTCTCAGACCAACGTGTTTGCTTTTTTACCAACGCTGAGCTCTCCGCAGCTGGCCAAGAAAAGTCCAGTATATTTCTTTTTAAAAAATGTCCAAACACACTTGTTTCTCAATGGTTAAAACCAACAACAAAGTAATTTTTTTTTTTTTATTTCTTAGAGAGCCATACCAACTGTTTCTTTGGTTGAAGCTAAGGTGAGCCAGGCCAAGCGAACCTCTGATTGTAGTGTTAGAAATCCCATTCTTCCTCTCAAATCTAAAGACATTTCAGTCACAGAACATCAGAATTCACAAAGGTTTGTATTTTGCAGAGTCACGATTACAAAACTGCAGTCACGCTCCTTTCAAAGACAGTCTCTCAATCTGCAAACATGGGCGTGGTATGGGAAGTGGACCTAACTACCCAGTGCCTAAGTAGGGAAAAGGGCCCATGAAAATCCTGATTTTTATTTTGCTCACGTGCCTCGTGCACTGGCATAGATAAGGGACCACTGTCATCTAGAGTGTACAGGGCCCAGAATTTAGTGCCAACCCCTGTCTGCAAGTAGTGGAGATTTACAAGTATATAGATTAACATAGAGAAAAATTGTCTTTTGGCTAACTTTAGGTTAGTTGGTATAGCTTAGTCTGCTAGAGGGGCATTGTACAAACTTGAAATTTGATTATATCGAAATGTAATTACCAGAAAAAGACAAGCTTGAGAAAGCTTTGTCTAGGTTTTCCAAACTGGAGGAAGAAGTTAGACAATGGTCAAACACAATCATAAAATCTAGAAGTACCATCATAACTTTTTATGACCATAAAATCCTGCTGCTGGCAAAATCATGAAATGTTTTCATTGAGAAGTCTACATGCAGAAATCTATTTGAAATGTTATGCCTCCTTTGCAGCATCATGTGAGCTTTTGAACCTTTGTCCTATCAAAGCCAAAATAACCATTTCATTTTCACAACTTTGCAGTAAAGCTGGTGTAAATGTAGTGCATAGAGCTCAGTACTAATGTCTATGCAAATGCAAAGAGGATTTTATTATATGTTTAAGCTGCACAAATCACCGCACTAAATCTCTCTCCCTTGTAAACACAATGCATTTGCAGTGTGGTTTTTACAGTATGAAAAGCTGCTGTCACTACACTGCCTTTGAGGAATGTGACATGTTTTCCTTTAGGGAAAGTGTTTACTTTTACACAGCAGGTCATTGGTGGAGAAATGGCATGAAGACAGACAAGTTAATCTTGTTTAGAGGAAAGTAAGATTACACGCACACTCAGCCCACATCTCCATTGATATGAATCAGTCTGAACTTGGGCCCACAGATAACTGAGATTGTCATCTGGAGGAGTTTAATTTAACATGTTCACGATACCTCTCAGAAATAGGAGCATTTTTTAAACCCCCATTTGGAGTTTAAGGCAGTTAAAAGTGTTTCATAGCAGAAACTGTCTGTCGTCTCTGTGATAAATGGAGAGGAGATTTGAGATCAGCCGGGGCTTCACCTCAAGATTCATAGATTTACAGTCTGCTGCAGTTTGTTGGCCTGTAATATTTTCTCCAGACACTTTATTTTCTGTAACTTTCTGGAACTGGTTTTCCCATCCATTTTGGTAAAAGTCAGGTAACACTTATAAAGAAACCCAAATTGATTTGCAAGATGTATAGATATGATCAATCCTTGACCTTAATCCACCAAAATGTTAGGTGTCCCTCAGTCAGTGATTCTCCTACTTTTACAGGAGAGTGTCTAAAAATAAACAGCAGAGCAAACATAGAGCTCCTCTCTGGAGTTTTTTCATATAAAGCAAAATTAAATTAAGACTGATGTCTCTTTCTGAGCTACAGCAGAGAACAACACCCTAATTAAAGATTTTTATTGTGTAAATGGTATTGTTGTTATTTTTTGTCTCAAACTTTCTACCCTTCAGGGATAGGGTAGGTGTATAATCAAGTGATTACCTCCTAGTTGCTTACACAGCCTTTTTAAATCAGTTTCTTAGGTAATGATACGCTAGGCTTTATAAAGAAGCAGCAAGGGCTGTTGATGTTGTGCATGGGGCTCTTACTCCCAAATTCCACTGCATGCGGATTGGCGGCAAAAAGGCCGTTAACTTCATTCAAGTTAATGTGTCAAATTCCACCAGCTCCTTTCCAACCCCCTGCAGTTCATCGGATTTTGTCGCTGATCGCCAGGGTTCTATATTTTCCAGATGCCGCAGCATGCCGCTCAAATTCAGCACAGATTAGCCCGTGCTGGAAAGGAAGTCTGGCACAGACACAAAATAAAAGATCTGGCTTCTTTTCAAAATAAAACACTGTTTGTGAAGTATTTTACGCCATGCAAACGTGGACTTTTTTTTAACATGGCCTTCTACTTTCCAAAAGCATCAAAAAGACATACTCATAAAATGTTTAGTTTATTATCTTTCATAAATAAAGATAAATATTGCATTCACCCATGGTTAATTCCCAATCTCCGCCAAAGTGTCTGATCTACTGGTCTGGACAGAGTGGATTTCCTCCTCTGGAAGGACACAATCTACTGCTTATATGGATATTTGGCTGTCTTTATTATCGTACTTATTATCGCGCGACTGCATGTGAATTCGCAGGTTCTTGTGAGTCCTTACAAACGCATCTGGTACGATTTGGCGGATGGCACCGTTCCGCAGCGGTGCCATTCCACATGCGGTGGAATTTGGGGGTTAGGCTTTAACTGCTGACTTAAACTAAGGACCTACATGTACTGTTGTCAATGCCAATGTCCTAAATTTTTAAATAGATTGCAATTGAACAAAACTTGACTGTGCAACATGTTTTTAGCTATTGTTTATCTGTGCAGGTTTTAACTGGATGGTTGGGGTGATAAGGAAGATCATCACTGAGGCAACTGGGGTGAAATCTGAAAACAAGATGCCACCACTGATCGAGTTTATGGGGCCACAGGTCTTGAAGGTACTCACTGGATTTGTGTCTGGCTGTATATCAGGTGTAGATGTTACCATTATTACTTCAACCCCTTTTTTGTCTGTAGAGCTGAAACCAGAAACAATAAAGGGCCTGTCCGTGGCTGCTCAGCTGCTCTCTTTCAGTCAGGTTGAAAGCATAAATCTAAAACAAACGTTAAATCAAGAAGTACACACCCTATATACACAATGTACATTTAAAAAGGGACCGAACTAATAAAAGCAGATGGGGTTTATATTTAAAGGAGTTTTAACAGCTCTCAGAGAGGTCAGTTGTAAAACATATCTGTGTTTACTCAAGCTGTTTAACAATGAACAAGGGCTGGGTTGAATATATCATTTCCATGAGCAGTTTGCTTTGGTCAGACTAAATATGTATTCAACTCTAAAGTGATTAAATCCTTTAAAAATAGAATGGCAAGAAGTAAAGACTCAAAAGGAATCGTAGAATTAATTAAACCTTTTGTAAAAACATGCTTTTCCAGTTTGATGGAGATATTGTTCCTGATTTCAGGCCAGTGAACTTGACATAAAGAGAGTTTAAAAGTCAGAATGGATCCAGAGATTACATTCTCTGATATTCTCTCGGAAGACAGAGCAAGTTATTCAGCACAACATGGACAGTGGCACCAGGAAGACAGGGTGTGATGGCGTTCATAACACCAAGTCATGAAATCGCCAATAATCAGAGATGCCAAGGGTCAGAGAGGAGGGGGTGGGTGTGAGTGGGATACCTGCTAGGGACTCTTGGAGCTTCATTGAGTCCACCTGCTCTGAGACTGGCAGAGCATAAAAGTGATGAGCTGAGTGACAATTCCAGGTTGGATGAAGACCTCTTAAGTATCTTATGACGGCGTCCTGTTGAACTCTTTGGCGGGACTGTCTCCTATGGGAGTGCCACTGATCAGTCCAGCCCTAGATCCAGGGGGAAGTGGAATTGAGGGTGCTGTTTTCAGTCTTCAGTCACTGAACTAAATTCTTGTTTATAAGTGATTCCAAAACATAAAGATAGCAACAGTCCATAAAACAATGGGGAAGATATTGTGGCTATGCTACAATTTATATACTGTACATTTTTTAAAGTATTAAAGTATTTAAATCACAGGAAAAAGGCATAATTTGACACTGCAGACCCTATTTGCCTTAGTGTGTGTATAGATAGATAGATAGATAGATAGATAGATAGATAGATAGATAGATAGATAGATAGATAGATAGATAGATAGATAGATAGATAGATCTGACTTTTAGAAATATATACAGTATATATTACTAAAAGTCTGTTTGATTAATTTAGTTTTTAACAGAGCTATCTCCACTGTTCCTCTCCTCCCTCAGGCTTTGAATGAGATTCCTTCTCCAAGGTTTCTGGGGGCTCACCTGCACCCTGACAATATCCCTGCCTCCTTCTTTGAAAAGAAAGTAAAAGTAAGTTTCAAATGGTTGTCATTTATTTTACTAACTGTGCAAAAAAAAGATGACAAGCAAGAAACTCAAGAAGTCAACACATCTGAATGGGAATGGGAAACCTGTGGGAGCTGACTAAAAATGGGAAAGCCTTTAGTTAACCACTGAATCAATATCCCCAAAAAAGAGTAAGGTGACTTTTACTAGCTGTCAAAGTAACTCTCCCCACAGAATAGATTCAGTCTGTCAGATCTGGAAAACAGCTCAGACATCTGTTCAAATGTTCAGTGTAGAGCTGCTCGGGGGTGACCAAAAGCAGACCCAGAGCTTGTTGGAGGGATAGTGTATCTCGCTCTTACTACTGGATTACTCAGACGGAGAAAGAAATGTTGATGGAACATCTGGTCTGACTTTGCTTTAAATGGTTTGGTTGGTTGGCCCATGAAAGGATAAAACACAGCAGCAACAAAGCTAATGTAATCATTGCATCAAGTGCAGTTCAACAAGTGTCTTTGTTTTCCATTTATGTGACTTTACTATTATTTACTCTTTTTGTGTGTGTTTTGCAAAAGATCCTGCTTATCTTCAGGAACCCAAAAGACACTGCAGTCTCCTTCTATCATTTCTGCAACAACAACCCAGTCCTGCCCTCTGTAAAGTCCTGGGACTCCTTCTTCTCTGACTTCATGAGTGGAGATGGTGAGAAAACAACCAACTTCCAGACATCAGGGGCCAAAAACATTTCAAGTAGCATGTAATAGACACTAGATCACTAAATAAGCACTGTATACTCAATAGTACTTGAACCACTTTTGTTGATGTGGCATAGGAGCTCAAAAAGTATCCGTTTGTGCCAGAGATGGGAATTCTGCAGTCAGCTAGTCATCGCCATGCCATGTATTTGTTCTGCTCTGTTACTGAACAAGGTGCCTTCACTAACGAGCTCACCTTCCTGGCTGCTCATTGAAAGCAGCTGGTTCAGTGATGGAGCAGAACAAATAAACGGCATGGAGATGACTTGCTGACTCCACAATTCCCATCTCTGGTTTGTGCTGCCTAGAGACAACAGCTTTCTGATCATCATGTTAGGAGGTTTGAGCTTCTGTTGAATTGTGTGTGGTCAGACTGACCCTTTTATTGAAGTTACGGTCATTACTTGTTATCACCTTGGGTTGCATTAAATATACCACTTTAACTTTATGTTCCTTAAGTCAGCTGTGTTTATAGTGTGAGCGGGTAAGACTTTTGGATGTGTTTAACCATTACTTAGTGAGTTTCTTAAACTGGGACACTCACAAAATGAGATTTAAAATTACTTTCATTCCCTCTTGTCACAGAAAGCTCTTCCTTTCAAGAAGTAGAAACATTATTATTGTGAAAGTATAAATAGTCTGGTGTGTGTGTGTGTGTGTGTGTGTGTGTGTGTGTGTGTGTGTGTGTGTGTGTGTGTGTGTGTGTGTGTGTGTGTGTGTGTGTGTGTGTGTGTGTGTGTGTGTGTGTGTAGTTCCCTGGGGGTCCTACTTTGAGCATGCTTTGGCCTGGGAGAAGAGGATGGATGACCCAAACATCATGCTTATCACCTATGAGGAGCTCAAACAGGTACATCAAACTTGGAGTCCTTTAAAAAACTACATAGGCTATTCGTGGTATTTTTTTTACCAATGAAATATTCTAATGGTATTTGTGCAATACTAAGGCAGACCCATTGAGCTCATTTTCACCTTCAGTGTGTTGACAAATATGACAGGCACTCTGTCTTGGCTGCCGTTGGATTAGAACAGTTTTAATGTGGCAAAGATTTTGAGTTGCTTTCTCATCCTCAGGACCTTTGCGAGGGTGTCCGTCAGATCAGCACCTTCTTCGGCTTCAACCTGAACAATAGTCAGGTCCAGCTGATAGCAGAAGAAAGCACCTTTAAGGCCATGAAGACATCCACCACCAATTCCCATGGTCTTGGAGATATCCTCTTCAGGAAAGGTGCTCAAGTGACTTCACCTTATTCTCTTACCAGAATAAGTCATTCTTTGAAAGGTCTTACCGTTTACAATAAGTTTATAAGACAATATGAAAATTTACCTTCCTTTATTTTTGTTCCTGGACAGGTGAGGTTGGGGACTGGAAGAACCACTTCACACCAGAACAGAGCAGAGAGATGGACGAGGCCTTCAACAAACACCTGGCAGGAACCAGGCTGGGAGCTAAACTCAACTACCAAATGCACTGTCAGTAGGAAAGGAGGGAGGAAGGGATAAAAGGGACAGGGGATGTGAAGAGAAAAGCTTGGGAACTACTCTGCCCTGAGCTTACTCAGACAGATCTCCCCCCTCTGGCAAGATACATGGATCCCTTTTGCTAGGTTTGGACCTGAACCCAGAGGCATCATCACTCTTCAACCATTTTTGAAGGATGTTGTTCAAAGTAGATTTCTAACAGAAAAAAAACTACAGTCAGGCTCAGTTCAGGGACAAAAGAAGGAGGATGCAAAAGGCATGAAGTGTGTTTTGTGTCTTGTATATGCTGACTTTTATAACTGTTCAAGGTCCACAACAGAAATTAGTCCAGCAGTAGTAAAAAGCAAATAATCTCACATATTGTCAAATAAAAATATCTTTTTAAATTTGAATTGTCTTGACACAAATGTTAATCAATTAAACAATACTTGATTATATAAAAGTAGCGACAGCAGTACTTAACTGGTGTCATTACTTTTTAGAGACACATTTTCTCTATTCAGTTATTGGAAATTTTCAGTCATATTCTTTAGCAGCAAACACTGCCCAATTCAGTTTTTGGAGAAAAAAACAAACAAGGCGAATAATAGCGCTAGACACCTCATAATGGTTTCAATAAGCAGCCGAATTGCTTTCAGTTTAAGCTAATACAGGGTTGTGTTTATTTATCAGACCAGTTGTTCGCCTTCTGAGTTTAATTTTCTGTTATAACAAATGCACGGTTTTTCAACAGTCTCAGGTTTCAGTTTCATCTTGAATGATACATCCCAGGGTTGTTTTTTTCTCAATTTAACTCCTGTTTACAACATAGCAGCTGAATTATCCTCAAACTGGCAGCTAGTGAATGGCTGTATAATGATTGAACAGTGGCATTAAGATAATTTTCTGATGAGAATGTTAAAAGGTTGATCACATTTCTCACATACAAAAGATACTGTATATGAACATGATGAATAATAAAATCCTTAAAAAACACACACCATCTCAGATTATTAACTCATCCTGTGTCTTCTATAGGGACAATCCTGTAGCTCAAACTGTGTCAAATCAAACTTTCAGATGGATTTAATGCTTGAGTCAAGAAAAGACACTATGAGGCCGCTCATAAAGTTATGATATAGGTATTATCTATGTGTAACTTCAAAACAGAAAGATATTTAACTGAGTCATTTGTTATTGATTAAAGTCATAAGTTGTGGAGAACATTTCTAAAAGTAATACTTGAGATATTGTTTCGGAAAATAACTTCAGTAAAAGTGAAAATAGCCCATATTCTGTTATTAAATTACTTGAGTCAAAGTCTAGGTAGGCTATCACATTTGTACTTAAAGGGATATTCCGGTGTAAAATTAAGTTAGGGTCAAATATACCATAACACCGAGTTAGACACCCCGTCGAGAGATCATTTCCTCATGGAAATGTAACCAGACCGAGACGCTAAGGCACAAGAACTACCACAGATTTGCAGAGCAAATTGAGTAATATGGCGATTATTACTTCAAGGAAATGATAAAGTAATGATCATAAATGTTCTTCCTTGAGCTGCATCACCCCTCTGCAGTCGACAGATTCGCTGGAGGTCTCTGTACAAACAAACAGCTGCTGGAAGAGAGTAGATGAGTTGTGTTTAGTCTCTTTGCTAAAGAAATTAGGCAAAGCTAAAAAGATGTTTGGTGGCTAGTACTATGGCTGTGACCCTATATGTACTGTTGATGAAGTTAGGTGCTGTTCTGAGCATTATTTGTGGCCATAGAGTGGCTTTTTGGTTGAGCGTGTGGCTCCCTGTATTGCTATCAAGCGGTCGTTACTTAAGTTGGTATAACTTGAGAAGCAAGCGGTTGGCAACATTCATCTCTCGGCGGGGTGTCCAACTGGGTGTTACAGTGTGTTTGACCCTAACTTAATTTTACGCCGGAATATACCTTTAAAGGTGACTCCTGAGAGGAACTTGCTGTCTCTGTTGACCTTGTACTTTTGTATTTTCTGTTTTATTCCTGTTTCAATATTTGACATGGGTTTGTTGTTTGTATTTCCAAAAGTAAAGCCCCTGGGCAAATCTTTTATTTTTATAAATGTAGTTGGCAACAAACCTCACCCAGATACTGCAAAATTTAGAAATTCCCGACCGGAAAAAACATCTTTGTGTCTCCAGTTGTTTTATTTTGAAAGGTCTGACCGGATGTATAGGTAATCTATGTTGAGCTTGATAGCGATGCTCTCAGCCTCTCCTGAATGAATGACATCATGCGTGCTCGTGTCTGTCTTCATCTGCGACATGACACCGTGGGCCAGTAACGGTCACAAGGTTGTTTAAAAATCCGCCGTTACACCACACGCGGTAAGAACAGCGCGTGAACGGTTTCCTGTTGAATGATGATTCAGCGTTTGTTTGTGTTCGCGAGCTAACGTTAGCCTGTGTGGTGTACAGAACAGAGCACCAGGTACAGCTAACCCAACAGCTGCTCAGTAATGCTGAGGCTTTAGGGGGAATTACTGAACTGATACACAGGTTATTAAATGGTCAGTGGAGGGAATAAATAAATAAATAATGCGCAGAATTTTCTTTGTGACAGGATAGGAAAGAGTTAGCTGCTCAGGTTATCCAGTTTGTCTCCTTGGCTTTAATATTTGTTGCTTCTTTTTTTCTAAATATCAGCACCAATCTGTTTTTAGCAGAGTACTTCGTAACGATGTGTCCTCTACAGTAACTGAATCTTTTATTTTATTGGGAGCAGCATAGATAGCCTAAATGTTTAGATTGATAGTTAATATCTTTATTCAATAAATGCTGGTAAATGATTTTGCTGTTTGAGCACAGTCTGTGTCGTTTTAATTGAAAATTAATGAGGCTAAATCAGAAATCCAAATTGTGGTTGGTGTTATTTTACCAAGTACAATTTACTAGGGCTGAGAAATAAGGCCAAAAATGTCATCACAATGGGATTTTCAAGTCTGCGAATTAACCACAGAATTATGGTATCCTCTTAGTAGTGGGGTTGAGGGATAAATATTCATGAAATACATGGAAACATGGAATTGCCTGAAAGGGTATGTATCCTTCAGTGTCTATTTGTAATCTTTTCACATTTCTACAGAATACATTTTATCGAATATGTTTTAAACAGAACTTCAAAACCGTTAGAGTCCTGAACAGTGTTGATGGCAACGAGCTACAGGTTCGTATTTACTGTGAGATATCACTCTACTTATGAAATACAGATGCTACTTGTAAACAGATTTGTGGGTTTCAGAGCAAGTGCACTTTAATTTAACAACAACAGACGATGGCTGTTAATTAAATGACAAGAAAAATGATGCATAAATGGTCTGCAAAAATACTTTCTATGATTATACTCAGGTGGCCTGCTCATTTATCCTGAATGTTTTGGAAACACAGGGCTAATTAGCGCTTTACTGAGGCCTGAAGGTCTTCTCATCAGATTTAAATGAATTTTTGAAAGATTGTTTCTGTTTTCTAGGAGGAGAGTGATGCAGCAGAAGTTGTGTTCCAGAGGTTCTGGTTCTTTCCTCTTGGAGAGAAATGGCCAGGCCTGTGGCGCTGTCTCCTGTGACCGCCCATTCCGTTGCCCCCGCTGTGGTGAGCAGGAGCGTTTTGGCAGCTTAGCCTCCCTCCGCACTCATCTCGAATACCGCCACTCCTACCGCTCACTGGATGTGACCACTGGAGGGTTTAGCATCACTGGCAAACTCCCTGACCCGCTCACTGCCGCGATACCCTGGTACGACATGAGCCTCCCGACCCGCAGGGGGCAGCAGAGCATGGGGCGGCCACCTCATGCCAGGTCCCTTAGTGACAGCAGAGACAGTGGATACCTCCAGTCTTATGGCTCTGTGAGGAGACGCACACAGAGTGTTGGAGTAGGGACACAGGCAGATGAAGAGGATGAAGATGAAGAGGAAGAGGAAGTAGGGACAGAGGATGAAGATGTCGGGGAAGAGGAAGATGAGAATAATGAAGGTGAAATTAGAGATGGTAGTAAAAATGAGGAGGATACCAGAATGTCTGAGAAAAAGACAGAGGCAGGCCACCTCCGCTTGAACCACCATCACTTCCCATTCCCTCCTCCTGCTCCTCTGGGCCCCCCTACAGACCTGGACCTGGACCTACTAGGTGTGTTAACTCTTTCATAATTTTTGGGATTTAAAAATTTCATGGCTTTCTGTGTGCATGCTGTTGTGTTGTGCTTTTTTGTCTTATTTGAGTGCTGCTTACGAAAGTGAAGTCAAGTTACCTAAACAAATACCTTTGATAAGTCTTGATATAGGATCTTAAAACACAAAGAAAATCATCAGGAGAGATAAGACAAAAGAACAATTTTACTTTTCAGCTGCTGTAACCCCTGTCTCCCTTACTGTATCCCCCAGAGCAGAACTCCTACTCCGGTTTGGAGACAGCAGCAGCCTCGGCCGCAGTTCGAAGGAGACTAGCCAGCATCCTGCGGGCGGCTGACAGCACCATGCAGCGCCGCTTGGCCAAGGTGAGCACGGAGCTCGCTCAGACTGACACCGAGCTCTTGTGTGAACGCGCTCACTCGCAGCACCTGGCCCAGGAGAGGCAGGAAGTGGCTGACAGGGAGAGGTCACTCAGCCGGCAGGTGGATGTGGCTGTCATGGTGATTGCCGCGTTGAGGGAGCAACTTAATGCTTCAGAAAATGAACTAGAACGTCGAGAGAGGTAAATGGCGTAAGATTTGACTGATTTGACTGATTTCACTTTTTGATGCTTTTTCATTGTGTCAGAAATGTTTTTATCACATTGTGTAAAGGAGACTTAGAACAGGGGATGGAGACAGCACTCATCAAGAGGATTCAAGAAAGAGAGAGAGGTGTATTTCCAACAATTCTCAGTAGTTGGTTTAGGTAGAACCAGAGGCTGGCTAACAGGGAGGTAAGCAGTCAGGCAGGTTTGGGCTTACAAGAGCTCAGAGACAAAAATAACATGATGCATAAACAAAGCTACAAAACAAAGAGGAGACTTCAACAACTGGCAATTGAACATAAGATTTTGTTTGGTGTAGATTTAGGCAGGCTAGTGAGTGAAGTGAAGACCAGGAGGCTGAAGAGCTGGCAAAACAAGTGTAGCCAGGTGAGCAGATGGTTGGGGTTGAATGGAGAAAATGGGGGGAAAGTCCAAGGACCTCAGGGGGATTGATGGGAATCGAAATCCGTCCAGAGAGAGAACAGAAGGATGGGCAAATACTGATATTTACAGACTGGTTGCTTTAACAGTTGCATCTAATGTGTCCCCTAAAACTGTGATACAAGGGGGATTGAGTACAAGCCCAATTCCAAAAAGTTAGTAAAGTTAGTTCCAAAAAGTCATGTAATATGTTGATAGAAACAGAGTGTGATGGTTTGAAAATCATACATTTAATTTCCTGTAGTGTAAATACAACATATCAAATGTTGAAATGACAAAAACTGTATTTCTTCATGAGAAATACATGCTCATTTGATTTGATGCCAGTAATACATTTGAAAAAGAGTTTGGACGGGGTATGTTTACGTTTTTTGTGTAGTCACCTTTTCTTTTAGCAACACCATGTTAACATCAAGGAACCAGTTTCTGTAATTCTTAAAGTTAAATGTTTCCCATTCTTGACTTTTGGACTTGGGTAATTTGCCGACTGTTTTCAGTCGGTGATAACTATGGAGTGCAGGCAAACCAGTTTAGCATGTGGACTCTAGAGACTGTGGACTGTAGAGCCATGATATTGTAAAACAGGTAGAATATGGTTCTGCATTGTCTTGCTGAAATATTAAGGTCTTGCCTGAAAAAAAGCATTTGTCTGGATTAAGCATGTTGCACCAAAAACTGTATACTGTATTATTCAGCATTAATTAAGCCTTCTCAGACATGCAAGGTACCCATACTATGGGCACTTTTTGCTTTTTGTGCTGCCAATTTGGCGCTTTGCCCTTCTTCTCAATAGAGCTGCAGGATTCAATGACCCTGATTTCCAAAAAGAAGGTCAATTTTGGATTCTCAAAGACACAGGACAGTTTCCACTGAACCTAAGTCTCTCTTTAATGGACTGAGATACAGTGAAAGTTACCTACAATTTGACCTGTATTTGTGGATGCAGCGACAAATTGTGTCCACAGACAGTGATCTTAAGACATGATTTTGGACCCATTCCCTGATTTCCACTATAGAGTCATGTCTGTTTTAGTACAGTGCCACCTGAGGGCCTGATTCCACTGAGCATTTTTTGGTCTAGAAGAGGTCTAATAGATGTCTAAATGTAGCCTAGATGACTGGTCTAATGTCAGGCTACCACAGGTCTAAAAATGAAAGTGTTTTTAGATGTCTAAATTTAGACCATATCTATATTGGACTATATCTATACTACACTTTATATTGCTCAACGGCTATCATAATTATTTTGGTTAAGTACTTGAAGATCAGTTATGCAACTCACAGTTGCTTTTTTAAATAAATAGTTATCAAATAAGGGGTAAAAGTGCAATGTTTAAATTCCATCAAAAAATATACAGAATCTAAACGGTTGAAATTAGGTCTAAAAAAAAAACTAGAGGTCTTATAGCCGTCTATTGTTCAGTGGGATAATCACAATCATTAAGTTTTTATTTTTTGCTTGACTTCATGTTTTTCTCCTGCTTCACTGCTTCGCTTGCTTGATTCACTGAAGTTTATGGCTATAACATTTATTGAAGTGCTGCACTTGTAAATCATTTTTGTGCTCCAGGGAGGTGATTACCATCCAGAAGTTTCTAGAAGCGGCAGCTCGTCAAGAAACCTGCGGGAAAGTTAGAATCCAGCAGTTTATTGAGAACCTGTTGAGACGCATCGCTCTGGCTGAGAGGCTGGTTGAGTATTACCAGGTCAATGGCAGCCCACAACAGTGCAACCACTACAAGGTACAAAAACATACACACTCATGAGTTACTCAATTATTTACATGAGTGAAATGTGCACAACTGTGTTATATTTATCAGTCTCTCTGAATGGGAGATATGAAAGTTCTACTGCACTTCAGCACCCAGAGTGTTTGAGCCCTGTTAAATGCAACTTACTCTGACCTTTGACCTTTGCTGTGTTCTCATTAGTACCAGCAACCAACTGATAATGGACCTCAAAGAATCACAAAGAGCAGGTGAGTCCTCACTGATCTGCAAAGTGTAATATAATTACAAATCAGAGTCCTGCGAGACAATTTATGCAGAAAGCAGCGGTCTTAAATGTTGAACTAGAAAGTGCGACATAGTTTGACGGTGTAATAAAATAATTTCACTGACGATAGACAGACAAACAACCTTCCAGATATCTGGTTTTGTGATGTCCGCCCTGATTGTAATGAATTTTTGGAGACTACCACTGTGAAAAACTAACTTTGAAATAATGACTCAATGATTGAAATAAAAGTAATCTGCAGTTAAACTCTGTTAACATAAAATGCATCAGGATTTCACTTTAATTTAATTGGTAAGCTGAATCTTAATATTCTGTCATATTTGATTCTTTTGCTTAAGACATCTTATTTTGTTTTCTTATTTCACAAACGTAATATGAGAAAAATTAAATAAAAGGTTCATTTTCATCATTATGTTTATATATTGTCACTAAACAATATATAAACTGACCAAGGATGTCAGTGCTGAAAACAAGCAATTTCAGTAGACAGACTTTGATTGGGCACATTTCCACACAGGCAACATTGCAGTTTGTAATAATTAAGACCCTGATATGTCTGATGAACAGTCCTTGGTTTTGAATATATACATATTTTTGTACCTCTCTGACCAAACTGTATCAAGGTTTGATACTCGGCAGTAATCCTTTTAAGAGGGCAGGTAAACTGCTGTGTCAGTCTGCTGTTCCTCTGATTTAAGCCAAAGGATGACAGAGTGACTGCTAAATATTTGAAGAGGGTGCTTTTGTCGTCTGGTGGATTACCACCACCCTGCTGCCATTGTGTGTAATTCATTGTGAAACATGAAACTACTACTACTTAGTCACTGGAGTAGGATTACCTGCTTGTCTGTATGCTCTTAAAAGCAATGTGAGCTTGTGTTTGATGCCTGTGCATCACTAGTGACAATTTTAGTTGAGGTAAAACTTTGATAAGTTGTTTGAAACAAAGAGTTTTGAGTAACATCGGTGCACACAACTCAAATTTCGACTCATTTTGGTGATAATTCAGTTTCATTGTCTCAATCAAACATTTTGATATTTAGAATAGCAAAATAGCTTAGTGTAGTGTTCCCATGGAAACAGAGGTCGTCAATAAATGGTGATTGTCCTGTCAAAAACTATTTCTAGAGTTTGGTCAAAAGTTGGCTTTTACTTTTTGTTGAGCTCAGATCTAACAGAATCAGGTGACAGCTGAAGAAATATAGTGTTGGGGTGTTGTGTAGTCTTACTTGCCTGAGGTGTTTAAAGACAAGGAGGTTCCCCTTTTAAAGCTTGTCACCGACTTTAATCAAAAGAATTATTACCTAAATCTGGTTTGGTTCACATTCACTGAATCCTGTTTCACTCTGTGTACCACTGTTCATGTTTATGTTACATTTCCAGGTCGGCAGGAGGTCAGCTGTCCTCCTCTGGTCTCCATGACAACAGGACCCACTCCTCCTCCCAGTTTGGTGGTCGCCCTCAGTTCTCTAAACCCTGCGGCGAACGAGACCGGGAGCGGGAACACCGGGAGCGACTCGCCCAGTCATCCAGGCTGTTCTGCCGACCCGAACACAGAGACGATATCTGGAACCACCAGCGGCGTCGCTCTGCAGGGTATGAGGCGTAGAAGTGTAGAGAAACACCAGAGGAGAGGGGGTGTCATGGGGATTCAACAAGTACTTCCATTTCAGTGTGCTAACCTGTGGAAAAGTACTAACAGGCCACATTCACTCCAAGCTTCTCTGAGGCATTTCTTCAAATATCTATTGGAAAAATCTTTGGAGATTGATAAATAAACCAATTTTCTTTGATGCATAAAAAACATTATTGTTCCAAAAAAATCCATCATACAGCATAATAAGAAAAAATAAGCAATTCTGGAGTCACAGCAACTTTTCTAAAATGGCTCTTTACATAGTTTTGAAGAACATCACTTTGGCAGGGAGAGAAAATCAAATAACTGTTTTTATACAAAAAAAGAAGATGCTTTGTACTACAACATTAAGAACATAATTTTAGTCATTTCTTGCATTGTACAGCATTGGGACTTTAAAATTAAACAAATCAAACAAGAAAACTCTTAGAATCAGCCGATTATAAACCTTACTATACAGTGAGAACACAATATCTGCCTACCGCTTAGCTCTAATAATGACCACATATAACAAACGTTTTTTTTTTTTGTTTTCTTTTTTTATTGCATCAGGGCTTAGGACAATATAACGTATGTTAACATATATAACATACAACAGTTATTATCACAGAGTAACAGGGTTAAACAAAGTGCAATAATAAAGAATATGATAGTGAATTGTAAAGATTCTTCATTGCCAGCACTCTTAAGCAGTTCTTTTGTACTTTTCCGCTGATAATTATACTGAATTAGATCGTTATAAAGTGTTGCATTTAAGGTATGGGTGGGTAAGCTGTCAGTATCCAAACTTTATCATCTCTCAGCACAAATTATAACATTTATTACAATGTTGTGTCTCAGTATTGAGGGATAATTAAGTTCAGATTCCTCTACGCTGTACTTTTGGGGAACTTCAAGTATGTATGTGTTTTTGTATCTATCATCTTATTCAGTATTCATATCATGTTGAGGTTTTATCATGAAAAAAAGTAGTTGTAATGAAATGAGCAGATCCCAGTGACATGTCCTCTCCTCTGGTTGAACTTTTACATGCTGGTCTGGTTCCCCAAAAACCCCTCAAGCAGTCCAGTCATCCTGTTTCTGTCTGTGCTTTGAAGACCAAGTTTTGATGTTTATCACAGTTCCTCGTTAATTTGGTCATTATCAACAGCTCAGCAAATGTAACCAATCTTTGTTTTTATAGTTTAAAGCAAGGACATGGATCTGTAGGCTGGAGGCTGAAGGGTGTTCCTATTCCTGCTGGAGCAAACATGACCAAGAAGCTGGTTTAAAAGCCAGTTTGGTTTAGTTTTGAATGGGTGTCATTTTTATGAAAACTTATTTACAACTTACACACCAGGTCATGTCATCATAACTTGACAAACTTTCCTGTTTCTGTATCTAGACTGTTGTTAATTTCTAATGTTTGGAGGAAGCGTTTTTCTGATGAAGATGCAGCACCATTGGAGCTCTGATTTGGTTTGAGGCACAGACAGAAGTTTGATGACGTCAGGCCTGGGTCAAATAAACTGTGTGCATGTTAATCTTGGTCTTTGTTTGCAGACAACAGTAGGACTTATATAGTTGAGTGTTCAAAGAGAAAACAAAAGAGGTATGGTTAATTAAATATACTTATATATTTTTAATTCATCTCTGGCTGGAGTTGTTCTTTACAGTCAGATGTCAACAATCTTCTACCAGAGCAGGGGACTGGAGAGTAAAGCCACATTTGCTATGATGACTATTTCTTGTTGAATATCCCTCGCTTTTTATATATATATATATATGAGTTTTTCTTCATTCTGGCATAGAACAAAGACTGGATGCTCAAAGAAACTACTTGGTTTGAACCATCAGTGAAAACAACTCCAAAGATGTCTGGACTGAAGTACCACCAAACTCAATCTTTTTCATTTTAATTAAGTTTAGCTGTAAAAAAACAAAAGCGAATGATTGGACTTGTTAGTTTACATTTCTAATGTTTATTATCATTTATAGATCCCATGTGCAAACCCACATCATCAACTGATCTGGTCTGTTTGAAAAATAACCGTTTCATTATGGCTTTTTGCTAAATTTCTTGCAAAGGAATATGATCTCTAATTAGTCCCTAATTTCTCCGGTTTGATAAAATCTACATATTTTAAAAATCTTTTAGGTTTTGTTTTTATTTGTTAGTATTTCTGGCTTTTGTCTGCATTTGGCTAAACTACAGCAACATGGTGTAAGAAGTTTAGCTTCATCAAATTTATACTCATATTTTGTACATATTCACTATGATTTCATCAGCGATGATGATAATTATTTTTAGTATCATCTGTATTGTTTTATGTTGCCTATAGTCAGTCAAAGTCAAGTCTATCTTTAAAGCAACTACACTCAAGCCAGGTAAAGAAAATTAACCTACTTTCCCTCTAATAGTGTCCATTCTATAGCTTCACTCTTCACTGTGCATATTTTAAAATACAGCTTTACATCTATGACATGTTGCCGAGAACTTTGGTCTCTGAGAAGAACTGATTGGCTTGGAGAGAGAGTAAGGAAGTCAAGAGACAGACAGATGACGATGACAGAGGAAAGTATCTTTTCATTCCAAGTGTTCTTTCTGTCAGCTATGACCGACTGAGATTTATACAAATCATTTTTATGACCTGCTGAACCAAATAAGATCATCAGTGAGAGGATTGATCATGTCTTTTGAGTATCTATAATTTCCATGGACAGGATTTGTGATGAGGGATACATTTGACTGTTAAAATAAGGCAGCATGACATTTTTGGACAAGGACAAGGTTGGCAGAGAATGTTTTGTCCACATGGGGGCGCCAAAGTTTACACAAACTGAAAGTTCCTGACAAGTGTTTCAAGCCAGAGAGAAGGCTCTGTGTTGATTGTCTTTGCACCAAAACACAAAAACAAATTCCCGGTGTGTGCAAACCCTCTCTGCGTCTAAGCTGATTCTGATTCTTAACCTGATTTGGGTGGAAAACTTAAAAGCACAGTATGGCAGTTCAAATTGTTTGGAGTTGTTTGGATGAGCTTTTTCTTCACTCTTAATGGAGCTCTGCAGTTTCTTCCTGCTTCCAGTCTTTTAACTCTTTTACAGAAAACTTTAACCTTAAAGCTTGTTAACTTCACACTTTCATAAAATGTGCTTTACAACTGAATTTACTCTCCGCTTCATCCTCTAATAGGAATGAGCTGTGTGCATGTAAGTCGGGTTTGGCCCAGGTCTGTCGGACCCCACTCATATAACGAATGTACACTGAGTTAATGTATAACTCACTCTGAAGAGATGCTGTGTTCAAAGGCCTGGCATTTGTCCCGGCTTGAACTGGCACTCATTCACACAGAAACGGGTGGAGATTCTCCGATCACTACTGAATGACGTCGCATCAGCGCTCTCATCCAAAGTGACTTACAGTGCCGTGAATGCAAACAGTTCACTTGCAGTATACTAAACAGCTTATGACGGCTTGTTTAACCGAGTCATTCCTTCCTCTGCGTCATCATGTATGATCTGTTTACACGTCATTTTTGCACTCATCCAATGATAAGAATGTAAATGTAAAAGACAGTGTTTGGTGTAAAATGTATCTTTGCTGTCGTTGGTTTAGGTTTTGTCGACAGTGTTAATAGATATTTTGTATACAAAGCTAATATGTGTCGTCAAGTGGAAGTAGTAGATTTACAGTACTTAAACTTGGCAGAGCACTAATCGGGGTCAAACACAAAACAGATCTTTTTATTGTTTTGAACAGGGTGTCTGCAGGTCCTGAAAAGTTCCTCAAAATCCTCAACAAAGTCATGAAAATTCTTCAGGATCTGTCTCAGAAATGGACAACTCACGTTTAATTTTCCTAAAACTACATCATGGTGTACTGCCTCTCTTCTTATTGGTCACCATGATGGTTTTCTTATTTATTTCAATTCTCAATTGGTGTCAGTAAGATAAAAAGCATGTGTTGAAACTTTGTGATTAGAACCTGCACACACCCTTTTCAAAGACCTGACCAGCAGTTTTGTCAATCATTATTTGGTCCAAGAAAGTTGCCAATTTATGAAGCCAAATAATGTATTTTCTGTCATCTGTATGACTGAAATGTATACAGTAGTTTCAGCGACACCTGATGCCACTCTATATGGACTATATCTTCTGCTTCACAGTCTTAAAAGCATTAACCAACGTTACTTTTACTGGTGTTAAGAGCCCTGAATTACTGGAGGTAAACTTGAGTTTTTGTCAAGTTTGCTCTTCACTGCTTCTTACCACACAAAAACCTGATCCTGATGAATTTGGAGCTGGTTGATTTGAGCACTTTGTGAATTTTAGCGCTGATAATAAGAGCCCAGGAGTTACTGTCGCTGTCGATCAAAAACCCCATTTCTCTTTGTTTTACGGTGAATAAAAACGAAGCGCAATCTTGCACTGAAATGTGTACAGAGTGAACATAAAATAAGAGTTACATTTAAGAGGTGAATATGTCCCTATAAGCATGGTGGTGTTGCTAAATCTCTTATCTGATCATATCTAAATCCCCCCCTGACAACTCAACAAAAAGAGGTCTTAGTCCAGTGTCTGTGAATCCACTAAATATTGAAATGGTGGTTTTTGTGATCTGAAGGAAAATCAGAAAATCCCAAACCCACACATATATCTTATTTATTTATTTTATCTGCCAGTGAGAAAATACATGACTGTGCAGCACCACACGCTGTAAAAACTAATGCATCTGTCTTTTTGCCTAATTTCCATCACTCTACTGGCTAAGATAACCACAAATATTAGATTGTAATGTGCATCATAATGCCGATGAATAACTCTAGTTTAAAAAGTCTGCTTTTTTTCTCATTTATCAGCATTATTAAGTTGTTTGATTCAGTCAAACATCCATCTCTAATTGTGATCAAATTACTGATTCATCCACATCCCTGGGTTTGTAACTGAAACTTCCATAGAGATAAGAAGGCAACATAGTTTTATTTTTATGCATTTTTTTCTGTTTGGCCTTTAGGTTGCTTTGTCTCCTACATAGTAAAACTATGCTTTTATTTTGAAGTATAAGCTACTTCCATTAAAAAAAAAAAGTTAAAAGAACAGTTACCAATTATAAACGTTAAATTAATAAGTAATCCGCAGGGGCACTAGCTCTAACCTTGCATTTGAATTAATGAAAACTTGTTATCAAACATGTCTCATCATCTCTAACTGCTGCTGCTGCTTCCGTCCTCTGTTTTATTATGTGTGGTAACAGCATAGAGGGCCTAAGCTATGAACTCACAGTATAACTGTTAGCTGATTTCAAGCACAATAACATTACTTAATATTTTTGATAAAGATGGTTATCATCAAAACTGATATATTACAACTGTCCTGATCTCAGTTAATGGCTGATTATTGCTTTTGTCATTGGCTGAGTACAAACTACTGTCCCATATATTTTGTAGGTTAATCTTAGTTCATTTGAATAAATTCAGATAATTGGCATCAAATCGTAAACCACCTGTTGCAGAAAACCAGGGATCGCCTCCACATTCACTTTAATGAGCCGGTATTTAGGATTAAGGAAAGTTTTTAGGTAGAAACTGGAAGATAATCAATCGTGAGTATGTTTTCATTCATAAATGCTGAGTCTCTACAGTTACCTGACAGAGGAGGGAAGTACAAACCTAGAAGGTGTTCACTGGTTGACCACTAGATGTCCCTAACATCTTCATTTTTAAAATGTGTGAAGCTCTTTTGAGGAGATTTTAAAAGCTAATTATGAAACTAACAACCTTCTCGCTAATGGGCTCATTTTTTTCTTGTAGGTCAGGAACAACCATCAGTATTAATATCTGTTTATTTCTGTAGTTATTTGTGTTGCTTGTACCTTTCCCTCAAGCTCACTGCGGGGGACACCTTTGTCTGTTAAATAATGAAAGGATTTGAAGAGAGCATTCACACAAAGGAAGGACAAAATCAGACAAGAGTCAAACACTTTTTGGTTCACAGGAGACCCCCTTCTTTTTTTATTCTACCAATATATATGATATATATATATGACCAAATATATGACCAAAAAAACCTCCATGAGACAGGAGTTGTGGGGTTTTTGGTTGAACAGTGGCATAATTCTTCTTAACTGTGGGGGGACTCTGTGCAGTTTCTCTCCTGTCCTGCATCCTGTTGTGTTTTTTCAGCTCTCAGTCATTGGAAAGACGGTGGAAGATGCATGAGAAAGCCCTACTACTACTACTACTACATATGTAGCTATTGTGTTACTGTGACAGCATGCTTCATATGTAGCAAAAAAAAGTACTTATAAAATACTGTTATCTTGTACTACTATGTGTACTTTTGTAGCAGAGCGAGGTCTATTTTAGTGGTACAGTCTTTGAAGGAAAGTTGCACTAAACAACCCGGATCACTTGGCGTGGAGCTGTGGGCCTAAGTATGAAAGGAGTGTTGTTAACTGGACAATCAGCAGGTTTGAAATAAAGTGGAAAAGGAGTTTTTATCTTTACTGTGTTTTGAAATGATTTGGGGGCGATGTGCAAGAGCTGTGAATCCTTGAGAGAATTTGCTTGAGAAGTGGGTGAAAACATAACCAAACAAGTAATCCGTTAGTTTGATTTTACTCGACCTTCCCTGCAGTGAGTGGGTAGAGAAAATGTTAGTTTTTATGTTGTGTAAATCTGTTTCTGCATCAACTTTGATATCCTTGAGTTCATCATGTTTGTCTGTAGGGATTTTTCATTTGCAGAAGTAATCTCTAGTTTTGTGCCTTCACTCAAAAACTCTGTAGTCTGTATAACACTGTGCAAAATGCAATACTGTGAAGAACTGAAATACTTTTTATGTTCAAACCTGTTGGTCTATGTGAAAACCATCCAAGATTAAAGATGAAAAATGACACCAGGATTATCACTGTGGTTTGTGTTTATTTACGCTTTAAAATCCAGTTGAGCTTCACCTGAAAGAGTATACATCACTTTTACTTTACTTCACAAGCCCTCCTTAATTTATCACCCGGTCAAAACCCAATGACATTTTCTTCATTTACGTCTGAAGGTTTGTCAGGTGCAAAGCCTGCAGAAGAAAATGAGAGAGTGAGAACAGATGTCACAAATGTTTGACACTTAAAAACTACTCAGGGATCTGAGTGAAAGGCACAAAGCAGTGTTACAGGCCTGATTGAGTAAGAAGAAAATGGCAACAGACTTGAAAAGTTCCTGGAAGAGAGACTCTTTACAAGTGCTGCTGCTGTTTTCTTCATTCTGTTAGAAGCACCAGCAAACAAAACACTAAAAACTTGACTTCATTGTGAATAAAGATGGTGAGTTTAATGTGATTTATATCAACACAAATTAACTGAATAGAAATTTAAATTTTCATGTTATTGCAATCTGCAAATATACTAATGAGGATGCTGTTACCATGGAAGCAGCACCAAGCTGTCCAGCCTGAGCGGTACGAATCATTTTTAGATTCGTAAAATCCTCTTTAGATCCAAACTTCGCCTCACTCTGCCTAGATTATACTTTGCATTATCACCTACTCACTATACATTATCTCTTATTTAAAGCTACATCTGCAAGTAACGGACACAACACTGTCAAAAAGGAAAAGGCTTTTAAGAGTTTAAAAAACTAAAACCTTTGAAAACAGATCATGTTCTAGTACTTATGATTTTAATCCAACACTGACCACTTGGTGTCGCTCTTCTCTCCTCAGGGAAGCTGGACTCTACCCTGTTTAAGGATTAACCTGCTTATTTGTACATCAAGACGACCTGTGTATGTGACTTGGTTTTCAAAACTACACAGGATGCCTTGGATTAACTTTTAGTGTTCACTTTCAGTAAATAAAATACTCTTTATTTTTAATTTTTTCAAAGGGGTTGTATTAGTTTGAGGTGTGTTAACTACAAAGGATGCCCTCTGCTCACCCCCTTTGTTGGTAAACTGAACACAAAGCTGGGTTATCAGCCACCACAGATGATGTAATTTAGCAGATTTAACTGAAGTTTGACCCAAATAACATTGGAGCAGGTTCACACTAAATCCTGAAACTTTATCAGAAAGCTCATTTTGCTAAAGGAGTTCTCCACCTGAAGTATGAGTCACACACAAAAGACATAATAATTGGACTTGACTGAGATGAAAAGGAGCACTTAGTGGATACATGCTGTCGATCCTGACCATTAAACAAACTGTCGAAAATTTCAATACCAACTTTGTTCCCAAAATGAATCCATCGTGGGTTCAAACCCTTTCACTTCGCTGGTTTTATTTATATTCATCAAACTATTTCAGTCAGTTTTCATGTGAGCTAATGTTCAAATGTCATGTTTGTAATGATGATGTTTGCGAAAATGTCCGTCATCAGACTCAAACACAACCACGCAAACTCTGTCCCATGAACTCACATGATGATGATAACATTGTTTTCAATGACACCAGCTAATAATAGGACTTCAGGGTGTGACATAGTTATGTAAAGTTTACATCACTTGTGTTTATGACAAATGAATAAAAAGTCAAAGCTGAAATATTTTTAACACTTAAAGGCTTAATTATTGCTTTCTGTGTTTGAGGATTTTCTTAAGCTTACTACTACTACTACAGAGACAGCTGAGAGAGGCCAAGTATGCATCTGCTCTCCTCAGAATAAACAGCTTGTCGAGACCAGAAGTGAATCTTTGTGCACTATTCATCAGACATGGCAAGAGACAGCACACACATTCTCATACAAATTATTATCATGAGCAAGCACCTCACCTTTGTAGGACTTCAGCGGTGACAATCCTACTTACCTGTTGACAGTAACCATATTTGACTGTCTGCCTTGAATCAATCCTTGTTTCTCAGCAGCCTCCTCACATATTGATTATAAATGTCTGACAAAGCACAAGAACATCTCAACAAAGAAACCACATCTCCATACAGGTTGTCTGTGCAACATTTACATGACCCATATTTCAATGTACAGTAAAGCAGTGCTCTAATGGGTGCATCTCTTCCATTAACCAGAGCACACAGTTAACTCCTTGTTTTGGTTTTTCTAACACCCCTTTACCTCTAAGAGGAAGTTCAAAACTTCAAAAGCTTGTTGTCAAGGCTGGTGTGATCTCGGACCTGCTCTTAGTTATGCTGCTGAAGGTTCAGACTGATGGGGAATTAGCACATTGAGCACCTTTCTCTCCCTCTCTGTCCTCTACCTGTCTGTGTGCCTAACTTTAAATCATCATGCCCTGTTGAAGTCACTAACCACATTCTTGTCTAGGAGTACATGAGCTCCCTAATTCTGTAGGTTCTTCTGGATCGCTGCAACACATGTCCTACTGTGGTGGACCTGCTTGCTTTCGAGCTGCTTCAACTACATGCCTCAATCTCATCATTTTTGTCACATTTACAAAGCTATTGTTAGTTCACTGGCATTTTTGACTTTTCCTGCTTCAGCTGATCCAAACCCAACCCCCATTACCTACTTAACTTCATTATCATGAATACTATCAGTGTTATGCTATTACTGTAGATAGTTGACTTAAATTTGCCATAAATCAAACTAAAATTAGTCTGTGATCATGATCACACTGTTCTTAAATAGTACACATGCTTGTTCCATTATCTCTGGCACTGTAACCAAAGATCTGCCATGAGATATCCAACCTGATTTACAGTTTGGACAGTCGGGACTCTGGACAAGTCTTAGTGTGTGGTGCGCAGTGAACATCACATTGTTGCTCACAACTCACTTGTGTAGCAAAACACTTTAATCTCTCACCACTGGTCATCATGTGTGAGGTCTGTGACATTTTTTAAACAAGTTAAGACTTTAAAAATCTTTTGGTGTGTGCTGGGTTTTACTTTTGAAGTAATCTGGGTCACAAGTTTGGTGTATCTGGAGCTTGACTTGACTGACATGTGGGTGCTCTGTAGCTGTAAGTGAGGAGATGAAAAGGCTAAAATCTGATGCATAATAATAATAATAATAATAATAATAATAATAACAATATTATTATTATTATTATTATTATTATTATTATTATTATTATTATTATTATTGTTGTTGTTGTTGTTGTTGTTGTTGTTGTTATTATTTTTATTATTATGGGTGATTTGACTGAGACTAAGAAATCCTCTGGAGAAGTTCAAAAACTTTTTTCACTATTTTGTAATTTAGACCTTTAAATTTATTTATCTCTTTCAAGTGTTATTTCACTGCTTGATAATGAAATGATGTAATCCTTAAGTACCCATTAAGCCCTAATACACTGCATTGGTCTATGTTATCCTGTTTACAGTATGTTTTTCTTTTCTCCTGCTGTTTTTTGCCTTATTTCAGCAAACCCTCTGTGTATTGGGAGGATATCTGGAAGATGAACTCGAGGGCATGTCAGAATGTTAAATGGCTCGTTTCACGGTTGTTCGCTGCATTTCAGTGTGTCAATAAATACTGCAGCCTGTTGTTGATCTTTCATCGAGAGGGTAAACACGGTCTACGACACTTTGACGTCACAGCAAAGGCTCACACGACAGTCCGTTGGTCCAGACGAAATCAGTGCTTTGACATTGTGCAGCCTCTTTTGAGTGAAAATGTTCTCTGGAGGCGTCACACGGTCATATCAGTGTCAGCATCTACAGATTTGTCACCCTGTGGCCAGGCCACCATCTGAAGCAAAATGGGCCACAAATGACAGATTTGTTCAAGCAGAGCCAAAGGATCAAACACAAAGCTCAGTGTTAGTACAAAAACAAAGAAGAACGTGCAGGTTCACCCCAATAACACCTTTACATTTATTGTAGAAATATTATTTGCTTGTCTGCAGAGCAGATATGGTGGTGCTTTCACTGTTTTGTTTTGTTTTTTTTCAGGAATGTGGAAGTCCGTCAGATTTGTCCTCTTATCTTAGAGTGAAACCGGCCCAGTGCTACGAACGATCTGTGAAGGCTTTTTGTGAGGGATCCAGTTTCCTGCCTTTACCCTGTGGACCACAGCCTGTCACAAAACACATTTGCATTCACTCAAGTTGAAGTGTCTGAGGGACAATGGCATGCAAACTCTAGGCTAACCATATTTGGTTATTACAAACAAAGATTTCAGTACAGCACTGTGCTTTAGTTATCAGGGGATTCAAAAGTGCTGCCAGAACTTAAAAATGGGTCAGAAAAATAAAAGCAGAGCAACACTCATGGCCTGATGTGATTCATAAATTCTAATAATTTGGTCTGGTTGGTTTAGGATGAGGATCTTGAAAAATACTGCTGCAGATATGAGTAGATAAAACCCACAACGGACATGGTTACACATGTCGCTGTAAATTTCGATCCAGCGATAAAGAGATAAAATTTAAACTGACCAGCCACCTAGATTAAAGACTGAAACAAGCATTCAGAAAAAAAGTCAGTTTAACTAGACACAGCGTGCATAGAACTTTATCCCCATTGCTTTAGACCAGAAAGTCACATGGCCCCATAGTACAACATGCCATCTGTCACCCTGTTGATCTCTAGATAGTAGAACATCATAGCATTGTGGGAGTATCACAGCTGCAGTTCAGGCCACCAGCTATAAAATATAAGTCCTTCACTGAACTGACGAGTGAGTCTTGTGCAGGGTGTAGCACTAAATTCTGGGCCCTGTACACTTTCAATGTCAGTCGGCCCCTATCCATGCCTGTGCAGGAGGCGCGTCAGTAAAACAATATGGATTTTCATGAGCCCTGGGTAGCCAGGTCCACTTTTCCCCCAAACTACCACGCCCATGGTCTTGTGAGGTGATGAGGCAACTTCATCCCATTTTTAACAGTAGAAAGGCCAGAAGGTGAGCATTTTATTAGGCACCAGTCAGTGCAGTATTTTCTTCCATGAAAGGTCCCTTCAGAGGGCACTTTGTCAATTTTTTCCCCACCGATATCA